GTGTCACCGTGACCACGCACGCTGTAAAGCACGCGAAACGTCGGATAAATTAAAAATTATGTTAAATAGCTGTAAATTTATAATAATACATAACTTCAATCCGGTCAAAATAGTGTTTTATTAAATGAATAAAAGTTATGTTAATCTAAGATACCTGCGCTCCCCGCAGTTTCTGCTGAAAACTGCCTATCTTCATACAATGATTTTGTCAACTCCCTTACCTCATCTGCCAGTTTACATATTCCACTCAAATCTTCTACATAAAGGAAAATTTCTCCTCCTTTTTGGGATTCCGAATGTACTGAGATGATTCGAAAAAGAAAAGCGGCAGAAAGGTCATACAGTATTTGCATAACCTTGGAAATTTTTTTAGTCTACCAACAAGCTTCTGCAGCTGCTCGCAGACTTCTTAATAATAAGAAACGTCCTGGTTGGCATAAGTTCTGTGAGAGCATTTCTGTGGTACCCCTTCGTCTGTTGTTTGGAGGCAGATCAGAAGATTCCGTTGTTCCCTCAATTCTTATGATGTCCCTTTTAATGATCTGTCTAGCTGGATTACCTCCTTTGCCGACAAGTTGGCTCCTCCATCAGTCCCTTTTTATGATTGTCTTCCTTATAAGTATAATTCTTACATCCCCTCTTCAAACAGTCTAGATTATCAATTCTCCTTGGAAGAACTTAACAAAACATTAAATGGTCTCTCTGACTCTTCCCCTGGAGAAGATGGAATCCCCCACTCATTCCTCATAAATTCTTCATTAGGCACTAAGAGGTACTTTCTAGATTTAGTAAACTGTTTTTTCGATCTTGAAATTATTCCTGAATCGTGGAACAGACAAATCGTCATTCCGCTTCTAAAACCTGGCAAAGATCCATCAGATTTCTCTTCATACAGACCTATTGCTTTGTCTTCTACCCTTTTAAAAATTATGGACCATTTGATTAAAATTCGTTTAGAATGGTTTTGTGAAAGTAACAATATCCTTGCAAAATCCCAGTTTGGTTCCAGGAAAGGCTTGAGTACGATGGATAGCCTAAGTATAATAACAACCGACATTCGCATTGCTTTTAAAAAGAAACAGTTCCTGGTGGGTGTTTTCTTGCATATCGCATCTGCGTATGACCACGTGCTGGTTTCGGTGCTCAGGCAAAAAATGCTTCAGCTGAGTATTCCTGAGAAGTTGGTACGTTTTGTTTGCAATGCAGTTTCGAATCGTTATATTATTATAAGATCCCAAAATACGGAGCTGTCTCCTAGATCTATTTGGAGGGGCTTACCTCAAGGTTGTGTTTTGAGTCCTCTTCTGTACAACATTAACACCTATGACCTGGAGCTTGTTGTGAATTCCTTCTGTCAGATCCTTCAATACGCGGACGATGTAGCCTTATACTTTTCATCAAATTCTATTGAAGAGGCATCATCACGCCTAAATTCGGCTTTGGATTACTTGGGTGATTGGTTAAATGATCATGGTCTCTCTATTTCTGTGTCCAAATGTTCGGCCGTCACGTTTACTACAAAATACAAGGTTCCGCGGTGTAACATTTCATATAAAGGGTCCTCGGTATCTTGTTGTAAGCATGTAAAATTTTTAGGCCTTATTTTAGACTCAAAGTTAAATGGTGTTTCTAATTTTAACCATGTGATTAAAAAAAGTGAGAAGGGTGTTAATGTTCTCCGTTCATTATCTGGTGTGAGGTGGGGAGCACTCGCAAAATCTTTACGCATCATCCTTGGTGCTATGAAATCCTCTCCCATCAATGCTCTCCAAATAGAATGTGTTGACCCCCCTGTATTTACGAAGACAATTTTTAAGTGACCGTTTATTCATCAAAGTCCTTCAATACTCTTCACATTCCATCGTGTCCAGATTACGTCGCTTATCTAATCTCACGATGCCATCTAGTACAGGTAATGTTCCATGCCTATTACACAGTTTTAATAAACTTTCTCGTCTTCCTAATCCTGTTGAAAGTTGCCCTAGTTATCCCTTGTTTTTAAATAGTTTTGAATCCCTCATTTTTGATCCTAAAATAATTTTAAACTTTGGAATTGAAAAAAAATCCACCCAAGCTTCCATTTCTGGAAAAAATTTCAAAAGACTGGCAGGGTTGGTTACCGATGTATACTGATGCTTCCAAGATTCCCAGTAATGAGTGCATCGGTGCGGCTGTATGGGTCCCTTCATACAAAACAGTATTGAGCTATAATCTTCCTCCATTGACCTCCGTTTTATCAGGTGAAGCTTTTGCAATCCTAGAAGCGGTTTTGTATGCTGAGTCCCACAACCTGAATAAAGTTACAATTTTTTCCGATTCTCGAAGCTGCTTACAGGCAATTCTTTCCAATCCATTCAGGTCTAAAAAATAAGAGAAGCTTTGTTTAGGTGTAGTAAAAAAGATATTCATATTGTACTTTTGTGGATACCTAGTCATTGTGGTATAGCGGGTAATGAAACTGCTGACTCTTGTGCAAAGGGTGCTATTTTCTATCAGCTCTTGCGTACTCCCACCTTTTTAAAATCCTGGACTATTGATTGGCAAACTTCTAAAGAAAAAACTGGCAGGCACTATGCTAATATTCAGTATTCAATCCCTTCTTCGCCGTGGTTTTTTAAATATAAGTTTTTAAACAAAAAGTTCACGTCTATAATCTGCCGTCTTAGTATAGGGCACGCTTGTACTACCGTTCATCTAGCCAAAATTAAAATTAAAGACAGTTCTCTCTGAGAGTGTGGTATGGACGAGGGCTCGACAGACCATATATTTTTTAACTGTTCTTAAATTAATGACTCGTTATTTGACCATCTTTCTCCAGATTTCCCTCGTCCATGTAACCTTAACTCCCTACTTTCCCTCCCATCCAGCCCGATCGTCAAAATTTTAGGGAAATTTATTTCTGTTAATAAATTAAAGTTATAAATAAGATTCTCCCCTCCATACCTTGTAGTAAAATGTTAACCTCTTCACTCTTGTATATATTATTAGATGTATGTGTGTGTTGTCTTTATTGTGATGTCATTTTTGTTTTGGGTAATTCTGCTTAGATTAAATTCAATCTATCAAAATTATCAAATCTATCCTCACTGTGTGAAGACTTAGAACGTGACATTGGCGGAATTGTGATTTACACAGATGTCGCCATTATAAATAAAGTGAAGTGATACTTGACATTGATCTGTTTACATTTAGCTTTATAAATAGTAAATTCTAAAATTATTTGTAGATTTGTTTCATACAACAGCTAAGAATTAAAACCCGAAAATGTTAAATAAAGTTTTATTATCGACCGACGTAGCTTTGGTGTGTGTGCAACATGCTCTTTCAACTGAGAAAGAGGAAATTATGGGACTGTTAATTGGGGAGGTAAATAGGCCAACCAAATTCCATTATCTAGCGGATTCACAGATATTCCATTTCCAAATTATATATGTGAAAGGTTCTAACTACGTTTAATAAATTGCATATAAACATTATTCTATTAAATATAGCATTTATTTACTAGGTACATAATAATGGGACCTTAGTCTCTATTGTATCATCAGTAATATTACGAAGGTTAGACAAAAAACCAGACAGAGTTGAAATATCAGAAGAACAACTTGTACAAGCAACTCTTAGAGCCGAAGAACTAGCAGCTGAAGTTGGGAGACCATTAAGAGTTGTAGGGTGGTACCATTCTCATCCTCATATTACCGTTTGGCCGTCTCATGTTGGCAAGTTCACATTTAAATTCGTGACGTTTTTTTTAGTAAAAGATAATGCTCACAATTATTATTATTACATTCTAGATTTAGCTACTCAATTCATGTATCAAAGAATGGATTCGAGCTTTGTTGGCATCATTTTTGCAGTCTTTCTCTCGGACCAAACTGCAAAAGCCCCTTCGGTAAATATTGAGATGCTTTAGTTGGTCCTTTACTTGCAATGACATTCCATCAATAAATTAATAAGCTTAATCAATTTCAATGTATTTTAGGTTCAAATTACTTGCTTTCAATCTGTAAGTGAAGGATCAAGCCAGGGACGGCGTGAGATAGAATTGGAAATTACAAATTGTAATGATTCCTTAACAAAGAATAATTTTGAAGTAAGAATTTATATTACTATAATTTTTATCATGTTTTTTTTCAAACAATCAAATGTATAAATACATATAACTGTAATAATACAATTGCCTTGAAGTTACTAAAATTTTTTTGTGACAAACACTATCTAATGATTTCTTGTAATAGATACTTACTCAGTTACCCACAACTCTAAAAGAAGAAGAAGATGAAGCTTTTAAACTGGAAGCTGGAGAAATAGAAACAGATGATATAATTATTAAACAGCACAACACAGCTGTGAGAACTATAGCCATTGGGCACATAGTAGAAAAGGTGTGTATAGTCAGTCATAAGTAATAGAGATTTAGGTATTTACTAAAAGTTGGTCATTGCTTGTGTTTGGTCATTTATTGTTAGAATGAAAGTTTAGTTTCCAATTATGAAAATCACATCAAAATAGTAGTTGTTGCGATTCAAATAATTAGAAACTGAATACATATTATAGCAAGTGAGCTGGCAAGCAAAATATCTATATGATTTGCTCATGTGATAATTATATGATAAGAAATATTATGGTCCATGTCTGCCACCATGGTAGCACACGTTGTCAACACCTAAAAATTTTAAAAAACATGTATAGTAAATCATTTTCTTGTGTCTGACTTTAAGGATGATTTTCAGAAAAAAAAACTATTTGTTACACTGATAAAATATTTCAGGTATCAAGACCAATGCTTGAGGCCCTTGTAACAAGGAATGCCTTGAATAGTCTGCGTCTGAAAGCTTTAAAGAAGCATCATCAAGATTTAATGTCCAGATTAGATAATATGCCTTGTAATATATAAAAATATATTTGATAAGTAAAACAATTTATTTTAGTTTTTAAACCACTCTATTTTATTGTACTTTAAAAATAAATATATACAGTTATTAAAACACTAGAAAATACATTTACATAAATTCATTTTTATCTACAATTTCAAAACCATCAGATGAATCAATACTTGATACTCTTTTTCTTTTCTTCTCTTCATTGGAACTGTATACAGTATTTGCTACAGCACTTCCTAAGGAAGATATAACATTGAATGCAGAACTGCTCCATGTACCAACAGGTTGTACCTCCATTGATGTCCTATATTGTTCAGGATGTACACCTGAAATGAAATTACATAGTAGCAATTGACAACTTATTACTACGACTATATAAGAAATAATACGAATTCAATTTTAAACATACCCTGAGGAATATATTCATCTTCACTGGAGTCTGATTCTTCACCGTTGCCTAATGTCTGCAATTTTTCCATGGATAAATTTGTTACTAGAGAGCTACTATTATCTGAACTATCACTTACATCATCTGTAGGTAAATCTTCAGGTTTCCAACAATCTGAAATGTAGGTGATATATAAAGTTCTACTACTGTAGAACCTCGTTAAGTCGAACCTCGATAAGTCAAAAACCTCCAAATCTCGAAAAAATGTTTTGTTCCCTTCCCTTAAAACACCAAAACCTCCATTACTTGAAATCTTGACCCTCTGTTAATCGAAATAATCACCGAGTCCCTCCAAGCCATTTTGGTACATATTTTCACTCTATAACTCGAAAAATTAAATTTGACCTCTGTATCTCGAACATAGGAACGTTTTATTTTACAACCTTTACAACTTGATCATTTGGAATTTATTATCTCTATTGTTCGAACAAAAATAAGTTACCGACTTTAAGAACTTGCCGCCAATGTGAGTACACTATTGTTTCTTAGAAAACATTTTAGGAGTATACAATAATAAATTTATGACTCATGGAAACACGTGTTTGCTTGCTTTGTGTCAGGTGTTCAATTTTGATTCCCTTGGAAATTTGGCTAAGCCAGTCATTTGTTTTCGACTTAAATACTGTCAGAAGTAGTTTGGTTCTACTGCAATACACATCAGAATTTTCTGCTCTTTATAGATTAGACAATGCTATAGATAGAGAACAACCAAATTATCTAAAGCAAAAAAAATTACTGACTTTTATTAATGCCATATTTTTTATTTTAAAATGATTTGAAATAATGTTGATTTATAATAAATAAAAATATGTTTGTCACCTCTGCAAGTTGAATTTCTATTTATTTTACCTCTCTAACTCAAAATTTATAAGAATAAACCTCAAACTCTTTATGTCGAATCAAAATCCGCCTAAGTCGAAATCCTCCATAAGTTGAAAACTCTATAACTCGAATTTTTTTGGCGTCTCCCTTGATGTTCGACTTATAGAGGTTCTACTGTATATAGGACAGGCAAACAAACCACCAGCCACTGTCTGGTTTTGGGAAGGGTCATGTTCAAACACATTTTACATATGCCTACTAAGTATAGTGTTATGAAGTGACAGTATGTATTATAAACAGACCTAAGCTCTGTTTGTCATCATATATTGGTTTAATTTCAGCTTCAATAGATAGTAGATCTAAATTAGCAGCTGTTGCATCTGGCAAAAGACCTTCCAATTCAAATTCAGATTCTGAAAATAATTATAATAATTAATTTTTAAATAAATAAATGAGATAGAACTGGTATTCTTATTCATAAAACTGGTACAATGGAACAGACTTCCTGTATATTATGCTATTCTCATTTAGCAAAGCATAAGCTCGACTACTACTAATGTATACACATATAAATAAAGTCATACCTGCTGGTTGTCGAATTTTTTTCATTAGTGTCGACAAAGGAGGCAAAGTTTTATTTATAGTCATCAGTACCATAAAGAAAATGTACATCAATGTATATCCACTTATGTATCTGCCAGTCACGAAAATTGTACCAAAAACTATTTCCAATATTAAAAATGTCTAAAAAGAAAATAGAAAGATATACAGAAGAGAGTAGCATTCATTATATTATTATCATCAACATTTTATAATATTAAAGTTAAGACAGAAGATGGGTGCAACAAAAAATTTTATATATTAGTGAGTAAAATCATAAAAAAGTGTTTACTTGATTACATTTTAACTTACTTTGGTAGGATTATTACCACGAAGGTCCAATAAGTAAAACATTTGATTCTGCATCCATGAGTATGTTTGAATCAAAATAGATGATAATTTATTGTTGTCACTTTGTTGGGCTAAACGCTTGAGACAAGTTGTTCTATGTTTGTACTTTAGCCATGATTCCAAGGCGTCAATAATTAAAATGAAAATAGATAATCCACATATCATATGAAATAGATCAAATTGACGAAAAAAGCACACTCTAAAAAAATCGGGGTTATTAAAAAGGGTTTTACCTAAAATTTTTGAATTCATCAATACTTTAAACTTACAAGAAAAATAGATGAAAATAAAAGATAAACAACAATGATAACCACGTCTTTTTCCAAAACAAAACATCTTCTAAAACATTAGCAATTATCACAAAAAGCAATGACTTAGTACAAAGAGAGGTTTCAGAACTTTTCGAAGAATTAAATTTAAAAACTTTCTTAAAAGTTGAGAGCATGTTTACAAATCTGTATTTTATCAGATTCTTTTAAATATGGAGTAAAGTATCATATAATTCTATTTTTATTATATTAAGTCCATAATTTATTTAAGTCACTGTTTGTTTTTAATTCAAAAATTTCAAAGGTTTATTTTTCATAATCGAGACTTGTCACTTTCAACTGTCAAGGCTTAAGTTGAAGTAATGAGTGTAGATTGTAGTAGGATATAAAATAGTAGGTAATGGTAGTTACTCACGCTTGATAAACATTTCCATACAAATTCGTTTAACGTTAGTCACTTTGCACTAGCGTGACCCACGCCTATCTAGTGCTAAGTTACTTCATTAATTCGATAAGAACTGATGGGATTAAAACCAGAAGTTGAGAGAAAGCCCTGTTGTTTGTTCATTTTAATAACAAAAAAAATATCCATGAAAAACAGTAATTTTCATTTTAGTATGTCCTACAGTACAGTTTTGTATTAATTTTATTTACAAGTATTATTCAGTGCTTAGCGAAAGAGGGTTTACAACTATTAAAATACAAAATGTACGGGTGGGTAATTTATATACAAAATTACATTTTCATTGAATTATTCCTACGATAAAGCCATGTGTGGAACTTCGCTTTGTAACCGAGATATTGTAAAGAGTTGTAAGAATAAACTACTGAGTTCACCTATATTTTGTTTTACGGCAATGTTTTTATGAATTCCGCTATTTTAAATACGGTTTTAGATGTGTCCTGTTTATGTCGTGAATCTCAAAACGTCCGCTTTATAGCCATTTTTCATTTTGTAAAACGTCTAGTACTTTACACCACATAATGGTAACTTTTAGGTATAAAGAGTTACTTTGGTGGTCACGAAACGTTTTACTATTGGGTGCAGAAAAACGTTACTGCGCGTTACATGGGGGGGTAATTATCTCCAAAAATTTCGTGACGTATACTTGAACGCTCCCTGATCACGAAAGACTAAATTACTACTTCTACTAATCGTTTCAAAAAAGTTACAAAGTAAAATTGATATATACTTAAGTTTATTTTAATCGCTTTATTCAGAGATCACTTAAAGTAAAATCTTAACTCGCGGACTAAATTTGATCGGATCTGGATAGATTGGATCGTGTGTCGACTGTCGACGATACCGGAAACCGGATACGTACGATGAATTAGTAGAGATGTGCCGATCTCACCATCCTCGATCCTATTAATGAAGTAAAGAAAACAATGAAACTAGTAAACAAATAATAAATTCGAAAAAGCGCGGGAAATACGATCGTAGACGGACGCGTTTTTCGATTTAATTAATTTTTATTTTATTTTTAGGATTTGGATCAGTAGTCTAGTGTAGTTTATGTATATATATTTGTTATTTCTTCGTTTTATTTAATAGTGTAGTAAAGAGAAGTTTTATTGGTAAGTTTTTTTTTAATATTTTTTGCTCCTTATGGAGCCGCCTGATGACCCTGGGGGCGGAGAAGTCCCTGGGGTGGGCTGTATAGTAACAATTTCAAATGATGAGTCTGGAATGGAAACAGATGGATCTATAAAGTCTAGCAGTGGTGCTCGAAAACGAAGAGCCACTGTGCATAAACATTGCACCCACTGTAATAAAAAGAGACGTAGTCGGAAACATGGGGGCAAGGAAATCAAACAAAACGAATGTCATTGCATTCCTTTAACCAATACCCAAATTAGCACTGCTCCCTTGTTCAATGAGTCACAACCCAACCCGTCACAACTTAATTCCTCTGATCAATATAAAAAGCCAGAATCAGTAGCACGTTTAAGATATCAGCCAAGTGATGCAGCACCATATGTTGTTCACATACAAAGAGTACAGCAAACTCCAAATGATAGTGTTTCAGTCCACCCAATTGCTTTTGGTCGTTTCTTAAAAAGAAATTCAATACACAATATTGTTAACGGAAGCTTAAAACGAATTGGCCGTAATAGACTGTCTCTGTCTTTTAATAATTACCAGGACGCAAATTCCTTCCTAAACAACTCTGCTTTACAATCAGTCGAGTATAAGGTTTTTATCCCAACATTTACTGTTACCCGTATGGGTGTTGTAAGAGGTATACCTGCTGAGTGGTCAGATGAAGAAATTACGGAAAATATTAATTTACCTGTTGGATGCGGTCCAATTTTAAAAGTAAGAAGAATGAGACGGCGTATCATTACTAGTAATGGCAGTGAGTTTAAGCCTACTGAGACTGTGGTTCTTACATTTGATGGACAAATACTACCTAAACGAATTTTTATTTGCTACACTGCTCTCCCAGTTGATCTTTACATTTTCCCCACAATACAGTGTTACAATTGTTGCAGATTTGGTCATGTTAAATCATTATGTAGATCAAAACCAAAGTGTTTCAAGTGTGGCCAAGACCATTCAGCTGATCAGTGCTCTATCCTAGAGGAAGATGCATACTGTTGTTTATGCCAAGGTTCCCATTTTGCCACAAGTAAAAGATGTTTAGAATTTGATCGCCAAAAAGCCATCAAAGAATCTATGGCCAAGAGCTGTATTTCGTACGCTGAAGCATCTAAAATTCATGCACCTATTTCAAAAATGTCTTATGCTGATGCTTTACTTTCTTCTTCCAATGTAGGTGCTTCTACTATTTCTACTCCTCAAAATGAACAGTATCATAAACAGTCTTTGAGTAACTCTTACAAAAAGACTGTTTTTCTTAAACCAAAATCTATTCCTAAACTATCCAAAGGTTATGACAGAAATACACAACAACAATTAATTAAAGATTATGATATGCCCTCACCCAGAAATGGTTGTGGATTAAACTCAAACAACAATAATGATTTGACATTACAATCAATTGCAGACCTAATAAAAATTCTCATTAACACTTTATCACAGTCTAATATTCTTTCACCGTCCAACGCTGCTCCTTTAATTGACACTATCGTTAACTTACCAAATTATATTAATAATGGACAAGCAAGCCAAAGCTCTACAGTGGAACTGTAGAAGTGCTTCGTCTAAGAAAAGTGATATTATTTATCTTATAAATAAATATAAACCTTTTATCTTCGCTCTACAGGAAACCTGGTTAAAACCAGGTGCTCCTTGTAGGTACTCAGGTTATGCCTGTCTCCGTGAGGATCGTATTGACGGGTATGGCGGAGTTGCCTTACTAGTCAAACATCATCTTCCTTTTTCTCACTTCCCTATTCCTTCTCATAGTAATGATTTTTCAATTATTGCTGCTATTGTTAATAATATCTGCTATGTTTCAATATATATTCCTCATCCTAGTTCTTCTATCTTTGTTGAAATTGACTCTATCATTTCTACTCTTCCTAAGCCTTTTATCTTATTAACAGTCAACTAGAGATGTTATGGATATAATTTTTCGGATCTGGATACGGATATGGATATAGGAATAAAATTATATCGGTTTCGGTTCCGGTTACGGATATTTAATTATTTCGGATTATCGTTAGTTTCGGATAGTTTCGGTTACGGTTATTAGATTGAAGTAAAATATAAACACAAATAGTATTAATACTTTAGTTTTATATATGGGTTTTATCTAGTTTAGGTTATCAGTTTGTATTATAATCGGTCATATAGGTAAGTATTTATTATAAACCTCCTCAGATTTATCTATTAAAATAAAAGTGCAATAAATTTAATAGATTTACAAAAACATTTAGCTTTATACACTGCACATATTAACTTATAACCTATGTATAACATATTAAATGTTTTCTTTTTAATTCTTTTTTTCGAGTAATGAAACCATTAACAAGAACCTGTCGAAATATGTAGTATTATCTAGATTTTGGACTCCGCCCCTTTATCCGAAACTATCCGAAAGTTGTGAAACGGATACGGTTACGGTTACGGATATATATTTATTTCGGATATCCGATTGTTTCGGTTACGGTTACGGAGTCCATAACATCCCTACAGTCAACATAGTTCTTGGGGCAGTTCAACAACCAATTCATACGGAGTTTCATTAATGGCACTGTTAAACTCTCATAATCTTTGCTTTCTCAACGATGGTTCTGTGACCCGGCGGACCTCTCCCAATGAAGGCTCAAGTGTCCCTGATTTAAGCATTTGTACTCCTAGTTTAGCTTCCACTATTTCATGGTCTACACTTTCTTCTTCATATGGTAGTGACCACTTCCCTTTACTTCTTAGATTTCCTTTTCATATTAATTTTACATTTAGACAATCTCCTAGATTAAAACATCGACTTAATAATGCTGACTGGGATACCTTTAAATCCCGTATAGAACACAAGATGACTTCCCTTCCTAATATCTCACATGGTTCAGAATCAATTTGTGCTGATGCATTAACTAAATTATTTATAGAAGTAGCTGACAAAACTTTTCCGCTTAAAAATGGTGCTCTGGGCTTTATTCCATCTCCACCTTGGTGGGATCAAGAATGTTCGGATGCAATTAAAAAAAGGAAACAAGTTGAGCTCCAATATTGTGAGAATTGTACATCTGCAAATTTTGATCTGGTTACAGATGCTTTCAAGGCCACTAGTTTATTATTCAAAAAGAAAAAAGCAGATAGCTGGAAATCTTTTTGTCTCTCTATTTCCCCTAATGTCCGTCCTTCTTTGGTATGGCGTAATATTAGAAGATTCAGGTGTGCATTTACTGAAACTTCTGGTTCTCTCCCTGATTCATTACCTAATCAATTCCTCGACAGACTTGCTCCTACTACAGCTCCTGAAAGAATAATTATGCCTCTGATGCCATTGAACCCCTCTGGTCTCAATAGTCCATTTTCTATGTATGAAATTAAAGGAATATCTAATCTTCAGTTATAGACTCTGCTCCTGGTGACGATGGAATCCCATATTCCTTCATCTCTCATTTAGGTGACCAAACTCTTGAATATTTCCTGAAATTGATAAATACACTCATGTTAACCGGTTCTATCCCTCCACACTGGAAAAACCAGATCATTATACCAATTCTCAAACCTAATAAAAATCCCTCTAATGCAAATTCATATCGTCCTATTGCATTATCTTCGGTCTTGATAAAACTATGTGAACATTTGGTGAAAACTCGTCTTGAATGGTTTGTAGAAAGCAATAAATTACTTTGTGACAGTCAATTTGGTTTCCGTCGAGGGAAGAGTACGATGGACAGTATTGCCATCTTTATCACTGATATTTTTTTAGCATTTTCAAGGAATGATTCTGTTGTTGCCACATTTTTAGATGTACAATCTGCTTATGACAATGTAGTGTTGTCAGTTCTCCATAAAAAGCTACAATATTTGAATGTACCTGTAATGTTATCAAATTTTATCATAAATACTTTACACGAAAGACACATCACTCTAATTTCACAAGACTCTACTGTTGTAACCAGAACCTTATGGAGAGGTCTTCCTCAAGGATCAGTCTTAAGTCCAATCCTATATAATATTTATACCCATGATTTGAAAGCTTCTTTGGGTAATCGTATTTGTATTCTTCAGTATGCTGATGACCTTTTACTTTATTCCATTCATCAATCACCGGCCATTGCTTGCTCATTACTGTCTCATTCTCTTAATTTATTAAAAACTTGGCTTCATACTAATGGCCTTGAAATATCCCCCACTAAAAGTGTTGCCATGCTTTTTTCTAGAATGCGACTCCCTCCTCCAATCAATGTGTATTTTGGTAATAATATTATCCCTGTTAAGAACTATGTGAAGTTCCTTGGTGTGTTTTTAGATTCTAAGCTCTCTGGCGTAAATCATTGTGACTACATTTTTAATAGGTGTGAGCGAAACCTAAACATTCTTAGATGTTTATCCGGTGTATGGTGGGGTGCCCATCCCTTTTGTATGAAACTTATCTACAATGCTTTAATCCGAAGTATTTTAGACTATGGTACTTTTTTATTATCTCCTGGAAATGCAACCCGTTTTAAAAAATTAGATAATATACAGTCTAAGGCATTAAGATTAATCACAGGAGCTATGAAAACTAGTCCAATTAATGCTTTACAAGTAGAATGTGTTGATGCCCCATTACATCTTAGACGACAATATTTATCTGATAAATTCATATTTCGCTCCCTTCAATATGCCAACCATCCTCTCCGTTCTAAGCTTCAAGAACTGTCTCAATTGTTGACATCTTCAAATTACTGGTCAAATAAATCTTCACCTTGTCTTACGTCGTTAGCTTCAATAAATTTATCAATATTCAAGCTCCAACTCACACCTTGCCAACTTACCCTTTATTTGGAACTAACTTTGAATCTTTAAATAGTTCCCCAGACATTAGTTTCAATATTGGTATAAATAAGGGCGATTCCCACGCAAGGATTACTTTTAATTATTTCTGTGAACAATACTACCACGAGTACAATTACATATTTACAGATGCATCTAAACATGGTTCGTATGGTAGTGTAGGAATAGGAGTATTTCACTTACAAAGTAAAACTACAATAAAAATAAAGTTTCCTCCAGAGTCCTCAATCTTCACAGGGGAATGTTACGGTATCTTTAAAGCTATAAAACTAGTTTTGAGTAAGAAACTTAAGAAATCAATCATATTCACAGATTCACTTAGTGCTCTTCAAGCTCTCCAAAAATATCCATTTAAAAACAAATTAATTTTTCCTATCATTATTGAGATTAGGGGTTTGTTGTATGAATGTAAGCAATTGGGGTTGTCTGTGTCATTTGGTTGGATACCTGGACATTCTGGTATTTTTGGTAACGACATAGCAGACCAACTAGCAAATGAAGCTGTTAAGGATGGCGATGCTAACTCGTATAAAAATTATTATCATGATTTGGCCTCACTTCCTGCTTCTTTTCTTCGACAATCTTGGACTGACCTTTGGATTCAGAGCAGTTTAATTAAGGGTAAATATTTTTCATCTATACAGCCCACAATACCACTTAAGCCATGGTTTTTTAAAATGAAATTTAATAAAAAGGAAACATCGTCTCTCATTCGTATGAGATTGGGCCATGTGTGTACCCCAGCCCACCTTTCCAGATTTCATATTATTGATAATGAAATGTGTGAATGTGGGCTGAATATTGGTGATTTAAATCATATCATTCTGTCCTGTCCCCGGTATAACCACTCCATGTTATTCGATCATCCTCATCCTTCTTCCAGTATCCCGTTACCTACATCTGTTCCTGTTCTGCTTTCATCTTTAAATCATAATGTATATAAAAAGTTATGTTTATTTCTTACTGTAAATAATATAAAATTGTAAATACATATGTATACAAATCGTATTCTATATGATATATATTTTATTAATTACTGTTCCTTTCCATAATGTAGTATTTTGTATTAGAGATAGTTTTATAACCTGCTGATCCTATCCTATATCCGATGTAATTTTCTTACAATGTAAAATTATTTTTCCTTACTATTCCGTTTTCCTTACCTTTGTCTGTGGCAATACGCTCTGCGTGAAGCTATTTAAAAAAAAAAAAATAATAATAATAAATTCAACAAAATATTTATAAAATATGCAGAAAAATATACTCATTCTTGCTGTCTTTTCTATATCTATTATCTAGTATCTAATTCACTTGTAATTATTATCTACAGCAATGTCTGGGCGAGATACTTTTTTTGAGAATCCTTATGAAGATTATTCTTCTAATTTGCAAAATAGTATTCTCAATGATTCAAAGGATGGGGTTGGTATTATTAAATTTTACTTAATTGTATGTATTTCGCCTACCAAAATATTTTATTATATTTATGCTTACAATCATCACACATGTTAAACAAAATATGTAGGTACAACAAAAGGTGTGAAATAACATCAGAACTTACAAATCAAGTTGTAGCGCTTAGCAGAATAAATAAAAAATAACACATTTCCTATTTAAAAAATAAGAAAATTGAAAGATTTCAGATGTCTTACGAGAGAAATTGGAAAATTTCAAAGCCTCAAAAGTTCATCTATTAACAACCAAATTAGAAACAGAATTATTTTGTGATGGAACGGTTTATACTGGTTCCTCTGGACTTGCTCTTTATTACACATTTAACTGCCTATTAAATAAGAATCAGACATGTACTGAACACTTACAGGTAATTATTACTAGAATGATTTTAATTGTAAGAGCTATAAAAGTTAAAAGTGCTATTATTTGTAGAGAGCTATAAAATATGTGGATATTGAACATTTAAAAGGTCGGAGAATTAGTTTTCTATGTGGTGATGCTGGACCATTAGCCATTGCTACTGTTATTTCATATAAATTGGGAAATAGGCAATTAAACCCTTTGCCTGACTATAAAGAACTAGTTCAAAGGTAAATAATAAAAACCATAAAATGCTTTTTTTTTTTAAAATGATTAATTTTTTTATTTATTTTTATATTCCAGAGTAATAAAGCTTGCGTCTCTTCTAAATGAATCTCCTGATGAAATTTTGTACGGAAAAGCAGGATACTTATTTGCATTATTATTTATTAATAAGCATGTTAGTAGCAAGGATATTATACCCATACATCACATTGAGAAGGTTAAGAATATTTGGATTATTATACTTCGCTTAGTGTAATAACGATAACTATGAGCACTTATGACCTAGTGCCTTCAACATGCTCACTTCTGTGCCTTGTCGGTTTGAACCTATTAACTTTCTGTCTATGTGCACACTTAATAGTTGCTTGTATTGTGAAAGAAAACATTGTGAAGAAAAAAGCAACCATCAGACCCAAATAGTTGATGGTGTGTGTCAGGCATAAAACAGGGCTGTTCATCTACTAGCTTATTAGAAAAAACAAATGATCAACAGTAAGAATAATAAATACACTATGTATGTTAGACATACAGTGTTTTATTATTGGTTAATTTATTAATATTTTATTTACTATAGGTGGTAAATGCTTTAATTTCTTCTGGAAAGCAATTTTCTTTACAAATGAAAGCAGAAAGTCCTTTACTATGGCAATGGCATGAGAAGATATATCTTGGTGCAGCTCATGGTATGGCAGGAATACTTTACATGCTATTACAGGTGAGACTGTATTACTTACATAAAAAAATGTAGCAAATTTTCAAACCAAATACTGTGACAATGCCGCACTGTGCAAAGTTGAATCTTATGTTTTTGTGGTAATTAGTTTTCTTAATTCAGAACGAAGCTTATTAGGAATATTAATATGTATTTGCTTAATTTCTTAACGGCTTTCAAGGTCTGTTTAAAGATGTGATAATGCATATGGCCCCAAAAGTAATTAATTACATTACTTAATGAATAAAGTTTTTGTGTAACATTTAACTTGTGAAGAAAGTACACACTTTATAAAAATAGCTTAAGTGTATTATTTAAGCTATTTTTGTATTAAAAAAGAAAACATAACAATTAAAAATATGAATCTAAAATATTAAATGAATTCTACAGGCTCGCTGCTGTATAACAGGCAATGATTTAAGAGTTTTCATAAAACCATCCATAGACTGGTTACTGGGATGTCGATTATCTAGTGGTAATTTCCCTTCGTCCCTTCGTAGTAGTTCAGGAGATAAGTTGGTGCAATGGTGTCATGGTGCACCAGGATTTGTGCCACTATGTATAGCAGCGTATCAGGTAATTTAAAAGAACTAAACTGACTTACATTCTTGCCAACGTTATTTATAGTATACATGCCATACATGCATTCCAGAAATTCGTGGATATCTACTTCACTCACTTCACTTTATTTATAATGGCGACATCTGTGTAAATCACAATTCCGCCAATGTCACGTTCTAAGTCTTCACACAGTGAGGATAGATTTGATAATTTTACTAGATTGAATTTTATCTAAGCAGAGTTACCCAAAACAAAAATGACATCACAATAAATACAACACACACAGACATCTAATAATATATACAAAAGGTTAACATTTTACTACAAGGTATGGAGGGGAGAATCTTATTTATAACTTTAATTTATTAACAGAAATAAATTTCCCTAAAATATTGACGATCGAGCTGGATGGGAGGGAAAGTAGGGAGTTAAGGTTACATGGACGAGGGAAATCTGAAGAAAGATGGTCAAATAACGAGTCATTAATTAAAGAACAGTTAAAAAATATGTGGTCTGTCGAGCCTTCGTCCATACCACACTCACAGAGAGAACTGTCTTTAATTTTAATTTTGGCTAGATGAACGGGAGTACAAGCGTGCCCTATACGAAGACGGCAGATTATAGACGTGACCTTTTTGTTTAAAAACTTATATTTAAAAAACCACGGCGAAGAAGGGATTGAATACTGAATATTAGCATAGTGCCTGCCAGTTTTTACTTTAGAAGATTGCCAATCAATAGTCCAGGATTTTAAAAGGTGGGAGTACGCAAGAGCTGATAGGTCGTGGGCCGAGATGTTGGGATGCTGACAAGATCCGCAGAAAATAGCACCTTTTGCACAAGAGTCAGCAGTTTCATTACCCGCTATACCACAATGACTAGGTATCCACAAAAGTACAATATGAATATCTTTTTTACTACACCTAAACAAAGCTTCTCTTATTTTTAGAATAGTATTATGTTTTTTTTAGACCTGAATGGATTGGAAAGAATTGCCTGTAAACAGCTGCGAGAATCGGAAAAAATTGTAACTTTATTTAGGTTGTGGGACTCAGCATACAAAACCGCTTCTAGGATTGCAAAAGCTTCACCTGAAAAAACGGAGGTCAATGGAGGAAGTTTAAAGCTCAATACTGTTTTGAATGAAGGAACCCATACAGCCGCACCGATGTACTCATTATTGGGAATCTTGGAAGCATCAGTATACATCGGTAACCAACCCTGCCAGTCTTTTGAAATTTTTTCCAGAAAACAAGTGGAAGCTTGGGTGGATTTTTTTTCAATTCCAAAGTTTAAAATTATTTTAGGATCAAAAATGAGGGATTCATAACTATTTAAAAACAAGGGATTACTAGGGAAACTTTCAATAGGATTAGGAAGACGAGAAAGTTTATTAAAACTGTATAACAGGCATGGAACATTACCTGTACTAGATGGCATCGTGAGATTAGATAAGCGACGTAATTTGGACAAGATGGAATGTGAAGAGTATTGAAGGACTTTGATGAAGAAGCGGTCACTTAAAAATTGTCTACGTAAATACAGGGGGGGGTCAACACATTCTATTTGGAGAGCATTGATGGGAGAGGATTTCATAGCACCAAGGATGATGCGTAAAGATTTCGATTGAATTTTGGAAATTTTATCAAGGGCTTGCTTGTTGCCAGGATCTAAAAGGAAGGTGCCATAATCAAAATGACTTCGTACCACAGCATTGTATAAAAGCTTTTATGAGTAGGGGTGTGCTCCCCACCTCACACCAGATAATGAACGGAGAACATTAACACCCTTCTCACTTTTTTTAATCACATGGTTAAAATGAGGAACACCGTTTAACTTTGAGTCTAAAATAAGGCCTAAAAATTTTACTTGCTTACAACACGATACCAAGGACCCTTTATATGAAATGTTACACCGTGGAACCTTGTATTTTGTAGTAAATGTGACTGCCGAGCATTTGGGCACAGAAATAGAGAGACCATGATCATTTAACCAATCACCCAAATAATCCAAAGCCGAATTTAGGCGTGATGATGCCTCTTCAATAGAATTTGATGAAAAGTATAAGGCTACATCGTCCGCGTATTGAAGAATCTGACAGAAGGAATTCACAACAAGCTCCAGGTCATAGGTGTAAATGTTGTACAGAAGGGGACTCAAAACAGAACCTTGAGGTAAGCCCCTCCAAATAGATCTAGGAGACAGCTCCGTATTTTGAGATCTTATAATAATATAACGATTCGAAACTGCATTGCAAACAAAACGTACCAACTTCTCAGGAATACTCAGCTGAAGCATTTTTTGCCTGAGCACTGGAACCAGCACGTGGTCATACGCAGATGCGATATCCAAGAAAACACCCACCAGGAACTGTTTCTTTTTAAAAGCAATGCGAATGTCGGTCGTTATTATACTTAGGCTATCCATCGTACTTAAGCCTTTCCTGAAACCAAACTGGGATTTTGCAAAGATATTGTTACTTTCACAAAACCATTCTAAACGAATTTTAATCAAATGTTCCATAATTTTTAAAAGGGTAGAAGACAAAGCAATAGGTCTGTATGAAGAGAAATCTGATGGATCTTTGCCAGGTTTTAGAAGCGGAATGACGATTTGTCTGTTCCACGATTCAGGAATAATTCCAAGATCGAAAAAACAGTTTACTAAATCTAGAAAGTACCTCTTAGTGCCTAATGAAGAATTTATGAGGAATGAGTAAGGGATTCCATCTTCTCCAGGGGAAGAGTCAGAGAGACCATTTAATGCTTTGTTAAGTTCTTCCAAGGAGAATTGACAATCTAGACTGTTTGAAGAGGGGATGTAAGAATTATACTTATAAGGAAGACAATCATAAAAAGGGACTGATGGAGGAGCCAATTTGTCGGCAAAGGAGGTAATCCAGCTAGACGGATCATTAAAAGGGACATCATAAGAATTGAGGGAACAACGGAATCTTCTGATCTGCCTCCAAACAACAGACGAAGGGGTACCAGGGCACATGCTCTCACAGAACTTATGCCAACCAAGACGTTTCTTATTATTAAGAAGTCTGCGAGCAGCTGCAGAAGCTTGTTGGTAGACTAAAAATTTTTCCAAGGTCATGCAAAGACTGTATGACCTTTCTGCCGTTTTTCTTTTTCGAATCATCTCAGTACATTCGGAATCCCACCAAGGAGGAGAAATTTTCCTTTGTGTAGAAGATTTGAGTGGAATATGTAAACTGGCAGATGAGGTGAGGGAGTTGACAAAATCATTGTATGAAGATAGGCAGTTTTCAACAGAAACTGCGGGGAGAGCAGCTATCTTAGAGTCAATAGAAGATGAAAAGTCTGACCAATTGGCCTGATTCAGTTTAAATTTTAAAAGAGGGGAAGGGCGAGTAACGCTCCTTAAATTGGTTGGGAGATCAATTAAAATGGGGAAGTGGTCACTCCCACAAGTGCTCTTAAAAACACGCCAGGATAGAAAAGGGAAAAGATCAGGAGAACAAAGTGATAAATCCACTGCGTTAGCGGGATTCTGAGATGGAAGACTCCTTCTCGTAGGACAACCATTATTCAAGACACTTATGTTTATATCATCGAGTAAATCTAGTAGAAGGGACCCAAAAGAGTCTGAGGAATGACAACCCCAAGAAACATGGTGGGCATTGAAATCACCCAACATGACAACAGGAGGAGGAACCGAAAGGATAATAGAACGTATATCAGAAATGAGGTCGATATGGGGGTGGGGAATATAAACAGAAATAAACGAGATATTAAAAGCTCTCATAGCAACAGCATTGATACCATCACAATGAGGAAGAGATAATGAGTGGAAGGTGAGGGATCGGCTGACCAAAAAGGCACAGCCAGCATAGCCATCATCCCTGTCATCTCGGAGACATCGATACCCAGAAACCCTAAAGCGGGAACCCGGCAATAACCAAGTCTCCGAAATGGCTAGAATAGATGGAGCGAATTTATTGATAAGAAAGGTTAATTCTGATTTTTTACTGCGAATACTGTTACAGTTCCACTGAATTACCAGATTCGCCATTTTTGGTGACGAATGAGTGGAGCAAATTAATTTTTTGGGCAACGTGGGACGGTATGGGGATGTCATCATACTTGGATAGCATATTACAAATGACTGCCCATAAGCAGTCAAGAAGATTTTCATTTGGGGAGACTTCATTGTTGATAAGGGAAGGGGAGCTTACGGCACAACCATTGGGTAAAGAGGAGGGTAAATTGGAAGTAATGGCCTCATGGGCCGCCTTATCAAAGGATTTTCCTGATGTTGGTCTAGAGCGAGGAGGGAGAAATACAGTTTTCCTGTTAGATGTAGTCTGACGGGAAACTTGGGAAGGTAAAGTAATGGGCTGGGATAAAGAGGAGGGGGTTGTTTTTACAGAATCTGCAAAAGTTTTGCCATTGATAGGTCTAAACCGAGCCGATGCTTCGAGATAAGAAATGCTCTCTTGAGACATACAACTCTTTATATTTCTTTGTCGATTATGTTCAGGGCAAGCTTTGTTGGTCGCAAAGTGTGAGGCAGTACAAAATAAACATAATGACTCTGTTTCAGGGATATTACACTCATCACCAGAATGGGCTAGACTACAACGAAAACACCTAGGCTTCGATCGGCATTGTGACTTTACGTGACCAAACCTACAACAGTTAAGGCACTGAATTGTAGGGAGTTGGTACGTTTCAACGCGGAGGGAACTATGACAAGAGAATATTCTCTCAGGAAGGGTTTGACCTTGAAAAGTTAGAACAACGGTTTGTGTTGGGATCCAATTAATTTGACCATCGGAGTTCGTCTTGCGGTTTAGGCGTCTGGCCTTAAGGACTATACCTGTACCTTCGGGAATTTCCAAGGTTTCGACAAATTCCTGCATCGACCAATCAGCTGGGACACCTCTCACAAGGCCCATACGGGAAATATTATAGTTAGGAATCGTAACAGAATAGTTGCTGGAAGGTACAATGGGATTAGACATAAAATTATTCGCATCTAAGCCCGACTTAAACTCAACAGATATTCTGTTACGTCCCACTCTTTTAACACCATCACGAACAATGTTACTTACTTTATTTTTTACCAAGAAGTGACCAAATTTAATTGGGCGGATTGATGTACCGGCGGATGGGTCAGATTCAGGGCAAGAAACATGGACTAAAAAAGGGCCCTTGTCATTGACAAGGTATGACTTGGGAGAGCCAGTGAGAGATGGATGGGAGTAAAATCCTGGGTTGACGTCATCAACAGATGACCGGACATCAGTCATTGGTTTTTTGGAAGGTTCCACCAAAGATTCATTGACAGTATCAAGTCTGCGCTTGACACCAGGTTGGGGCAACAGTGGGGTGGATAAATCCATTGATTCCACCGGAGAAGAGACCCTATCCGGAGGATCAGGGGGGTCTGGAGGGCGTTTCTCCATTATAAACTACCAAAAATATAACAAGGTAAAGGGAGAACTATAACAAATAAATAAAAATAACTTACGTAATTAGTTGATGTTATTAATTAACCACCACCAATAGGATAAGTCAACTTATATTCATTAAACTACGAGAAAAAATAGAAAATACTAAATAATGATATCCGAAACACGTGTAAACACTTATACCCGCAACGACGGAAAAATTCGTGGATATCTAAAACTACTACACCAATTTTGATGACAGTTCCTTCTCGATATGACTAACACACACATCCAAACTGATAGTCTACTTTTTTCGAAGTTGGTTAAAAATTAATGTTCAAATGTATGACGTAAAAATGTTTTGAGTTGTAATATAATGTTTATTGTGATGTAATTTTGACAGGCATTTGAAGATGATAAGTATTTAAAGATAGCTACTCAATGTGGTGAAGTGATCTGGCAGCGGGGTTTGTGTACAAAGGGATACAGTCTCTGCCATGGTGTAAGTGGCAATGCGTACGCGTTTCTGCAGTTATATCAAGTGACTAAGGTATGATTTAATCATTATTAGTGTTAAAAATGTCACAAATACGACTGGTTTGGATATAGAATTAAAATTCCCTCATAAGATCATTAGAGTTCATTCAAGAATAATAGACCTAGTTTTGTTATGTTAGTTGATTTTGAGTTAATGAAGGGGAAGGATTGAAATCTTTGCGTCTTTGACTAGCGGATTTAGCGTGTGACTTATCCCGGACGTCGTAGGTTTGAACACAGGCTTTGCACTTAATGACTTTCTACGTGATCTTTCTCGTACGCTGAAGAAAAACATGAGAAAACCGGCATGCCATAAACCCAAAAAGTGGACGCCGTGTCTCAGACTCATAAGGCTAAACTCGCCTGTTAAAAAAAAATCAATTGAACACGAAAAGGTTATGTGAACCACTGTTGTTTTTTAATCTGTGTTTAAACACTTAAATGTAATCGACTTACAAATTATTTGGTGATATTTCGTTATTGCATATTACTATTCATTACTTATACACAAGCTTCTAACGTGTTAAATCTAAAGATTTAAATTGTCATTACTAATAAAAAAAGTATATAATTTTTGTAAATAAAGGAAATGACGCGTAGCCAATAAGAAATATATTAGTTCATATACGCCACGCCGATTGACTTTTTCGTAGACTCGTAACTAAAATACCTAGTCTACTCTTTGTCTCTTTTGATCGCAATGTAATAGTCCGGTGCATATCATGTACAATGTGACTCTTGGAAGCCCGTTATCTCAGGAATGGTAACTCTTAGGAAAGAAATCGTGACTGTCATTTTCGTAGAAAATTTTAAGATCTAAAACTTTGGCTTGAAAGGTTTTTTGATAAAACTTACTGTTTTCGAGAAAAATTCAGAAAACCTCAATTTTTTAGCTTAGACCCCGAATAACTTTTGTAGCACACATAGGATCGATGGGGATTTTTAAAACTTTATTTGTAATGGTAAACCCCAGCTCTCCACCAATTTTTGTCTCTCCGGGAATTTTTGTTATTTGACCACTATTTTTATGTCTTATTTGTCTGGACTATAAACACAATTTGATAGAATGAGACGAAACAGTACGTTTAGTGCATTAAGACAGATTTATAGGGGAATAGAGTTTAATATTATGCTCGTGTATAGAAACCAGTTCATCTGTACCGCGCGTGCTGCTTCATGGAGTGGTGTGCAGTAGAAAGACCAGGTACAGAACTTCACCGACCTGACCGTCCGGCATGTCTCTTTGAAGGTTTGCTGGGACGAATATTTTTAGCTGAGGATATCACCAGGCCAATGGATTCTAGATTCCCCGCCTTTTGTTTATAAATATTAATTCTTTTAAATTCAGTATTGTGGTCATATGTTAAAAAAAATATTGAAATCATACTTGGTTTTATTTTCCATTTATTACATTCGTGTTGTATAAAATATATCACATAGTTAAAGGAAGGATGTATAAATTTCTAAGTATATACACAAAGGTTATTCAAATTGTAAAATTCACTTAATGTAGATATAAATCGATAAAAAACATTGTATTTTATCGATAATTACTTAAATATTTTAACATACATATTTATTTCTAATTAGTTTCGTTTATACTAAATATTTGTACAAGAAACTAAATATATGATTTGTAACAACTAAAATAATGTCGCAAGTTGCTAATGCGTTGGTACCTTGTCACAATGTGTTAAAATGAAGGTGCGGTTAACAATGTGCCTACGTGGAATGAGAACCGTGGTATTTGAGTTGGCAGTAGTACTAAATTATCTTCTTGTTTTTTTGTTCCGTATTATTGTTCAATAAAAAAGTTCATATAATTTTTTGTGAATAAAAAAAAATACTCGTTATTTTAGTTCGCATAACCGCCACGGTTCTCTTTCCACACATATTCATTGATTGCCCGTAATAGTATTATAAAACGATTTTTAAACCTTTTTTAACAAGCCATTAATATAAGTCCGAATGTATCTGGTACTCTGTCTAATCAACGTATTATATTTTTTTTAAGCCAGCGACATAAGTAATTTGCGGCTTAATCCCTTAAGCGGCCAGCGAGTGTAACGGTGTTATCAGTAATCTAATAAAAAAACAAGCTTTTAACAGATCTCAAATATATTTTTTTTCTATGAGACACTGTATTGATTTCAATTTTACCCCATCAGTATATATTTATAATACATACTTGTAAGTGATATGTTATTGCATAAGTTATATCAAATATAATTTGAACAGTTTGTGGTTTAATCACACGGGCGTCATTTTTTGTGAACTAATAAAACTAAATTAGGTTTTGAATTTTGACAGGGATAAAAAATTTGCATCACCTAACATACTAAACTTTGTTTAAATTATTTGCATGAACAATAATTCTTACGACCGATTACAGATAAAGAATCTATTTTGTCAAAAAAAGTTATTAAATTAATATAATTAAATATATATTTATAATAAATGCTTCCCTAAGATTCAAAATCTATATGAAAATTATTGTGATTTAATCAGTTTCGCGTTAGTAGTCGCGTCTTGTGTACTTATGAAGTATTCTTCTTTTTACGTATAATCAAAAATCAAAAAGGCAATATAGAAAAGTCTAGCCGTATAAGAGCAGAACGACAAATAGTGCGTTGTATTATGGAAGTGATAAAATAATTTCAAGTAAAGAAAAAACCCTAAACAGAACCAGTCATTATTATGGAGTATCTTTACAAGATTCACTAAAATTAACTACGAGAAATAAAGAAAGGAATAAGAGTCAAATTTATGTGGTATCGGGTAGTATACAGTGTACTCGGGCTTGAAGATATGTCAGAGGAGCGCGGCGCCTGCTTCGGTCCTAGAATGGGGCAACGGAGGGGCAGATCGCCAGGTATTCTCCACTGGATCATATATTTCTACCGAGGAGAGCGTGGTTCGTTCCTGGTAGAACGCACGGTGTTCGGTTTCTGTGTCCCCTCCTGCGACCACTAAAACACCTTCCGCTGCGCCCGCTACGCAACACGCGCGAGCCTCTTTAAGGTTACCTACTTCCTCCCATCGGTCCTGAAATTATACAATTTAATAGAACGCAAATCGTGACTTGGATCGGACAGTGATGGTATTTTTAATAACACTAAGTATTTGGTTGGAGGAGGCCTTCACTCCATCAGAGGTCGAGTACAAGTGTAAAACTTAAAAGACATGGACTTACTGTAGTTATAGTGTACTCGAATAAAGGCTATTTGTATTTTATTTTTATTTATTTTATTTGGTTGGACTAGAAGACCTCTTTAAGACATTTATTATTCCTAATATTAGGTCCTTACATATGAAATTGGCGTTTTGTATGGGAGAAACAAAAAGTCGAATATTTTTAAATATAATATATTTAATTAATCAAAGTATGAACCATTGTTTTCTATGCACTTTTGCCATCTCATAGGTAGTTCATTGATCCCTTTACTAAAAAAACCAGTCGGACGGGAATCAATAAAATCTGTGAAGGCGATTTGGACTGCCCCATCAGAGTTTTTTTTCCCTTGCAAGAAGTTGTCCAAATTTCGAAAAAAATGGTAATCTGTTAGAGCAAGGTCCGGGGAGTACGAAGTATGTCTTAGACATTCCAATTGAAGCTCTTCTAATAGCGTCGTAGGTAGCCGTCTGTTGTGCAGTGTGTGGTCTAGCGTTGTCGTGAAGTAGCAGTGGCGTGGAGCGATTGACCAGCCTAGGTTGTTTAGCCGCTAGCTTTTCCATCATGGTTTGCAATTGCTGACAATAGACATCAGCCGTAATAGTCTGGCCAGATTTGAGAAAACTGCAATGAACAATACCGGCACTAGTCCACCAAACGCTTGCAAGTAACTTTTTTGGGGTTAATTTTCGCTTGGGGCAGGATTTGGCTGGCTGGCCAGGATCCAACCATTGCGCTGAGCGCTTCCGATTATCGTAAAGAATCCATTTTTCATCACAGGTAATGATTCGGTTTAAAATACCTTCATTATTGTGCCGGTTCAGTAATGTAACGCAGCAGTCGACGCGTGTTTGCCGGTTTGCTTCAGTCAATTCGTGAGATACCCATCTTTCAAGCTTTTTAATCTTCCCAATTTGCTTCAAGTGAATTAAAACAGTTTTATCACTAACACCGCAGCCTGCAGCTAACTCGGACGTGGTTTGCGATGGATCCGCTTCCACAATAGCCTTCAATACTTCATTATCAACTTGGGTCTCAGGCCGTCCATGGGGCTTGTTCTGCAGGTCGAAATTTCCAGAACGAAAACGTTGGAACCAAAAAAGTTACTTGTAATCGTTTGGTGGACTAGTGCCGGTATTATTCGTTGCAGTTTTCTCAAATCTGGCCAGACTATTACGGCTGATGTCTATTGTCAGCAATTGCAAACCATGATGGAAAAGTTAGCGGCTAAACAACCTAGGCTGGTCAATCGCTCCACGCCACTGCTACTTCACGACAACGCTAGACCACACACTGCACAACAAACGGCTACCAAATTAGAAGAGCTTCAATTGGAATGTCTAAGACATCCTCCGTACTCCCCGGACCTTGCTCCAACAGATTACCATTTTTTTCGAAATTTGGACAACTTCTTGCAAGGGTAAAAAATTAACTCTGATGGGGCAGTCCAAATCGCCTTCACAGATTTTATTGATTCCCGTCCGACTGGTTTTTTTAGTAAAGGGATCAATGAACTACCTATGAGATGGCAAAAGTGCATAGAAAACAATGGTTCATACTTTGATTAATTAAGTATATTATATTTAAAAATTTCGACTTTTTGTTCCTCCCATACAAAACGCCAATTTCATATGTAAGGACCTAATATATATATTTTTTACTAGTATATTAATATATATATATATAATATAGGTAATCCTATATTGATAACACTTTTAAATGCGAGAAACCTGAAAATTCTTGCCTTCATATATTTATTATTATCAAAGCCAAAATGTTTCCTAAATAAGATAACGAATGTTTCCATTTCATAATTCCGGATATTAAAAGCGACACAAACAAGCTTACAAATGAACTATTTGCAATTACTGCGATACATACCAGACTACAATTATGTACTTACATCATCGAAGCTATATCTCTCAACCGAAGCAAGCACAGTGCGTCTCGGGCCAATCCCTCCTATAACGTAGAGATAGTTATCCAATACAACAGCTGCTGCCTGACTTCTTGCGTGTCGCATGGACTTCAGTGTCTGCCATTTGCGTAACAACGGGTGATAGCAAAGTAAGTCTTGTGTATGACGCCACGTGTGTGTACACCCCCCCTACTACGTATATCAGACCTGGAAGTTAGTTTCAAAACGTATTGAAATAAATCCGAAGTACCAAAATACCAAGATATTTATAGCTTTGACCAAAACGCCAAAATATTAGCAAAGCGCCTTTAGGGGCCGTCTCCACAAGCGAGAGAATCCGCGCTTTTATCGTCGGGTAATCTCCACGAACGAGCGATTATTCCGCCAGCGTATCGTCGCGATTCGTAACGGAATCACAGCGTATCCGCAACGACTCGTAACGGAATCGCCGCGTTTCTTTGACGACACGTTGTGCTCTTATTTTGTTCAGTGTTCATTTAGAGTTCAGTGGTGCCAGACGAGACCGAAATAAGTAGTGTCTAAATCAGTCAAGAAAATAATTATTTACTATGAATGTATTGTTGTTACACGCTTTATATTAGCTTCACCTGTATGTATGTATGTATGTAACCGACTCCTTCGGACTCGATTTTGACCCACTTTTAACGGACAGATTTAATTCAAACTTTGCGCACCTGTCAAAGATCGATGACAATGCAATAATCCGAAAAAAATTTAACTAAAAAAATAAATAATAGTTAAAAAAAAACTAAAAAACACGCTTTTAAAACACATCAAACTAAAAAGTGAAAAATAATTCCTAATTTAAGCTAAAAATGGTAATGAACAAAAAATACTGGTATTATTGTGAAAAAGCGTGGGGCGCTCTGTGCCATATTTTTCGTCTCGAGCAACCTCACCGCACGTCGCGCGCTCTCTGCGAGAGTCGCCACGAAACGTGGCGAGTGCGCGACGTGCGCGCCACCAGTAGCGGCAGGCTCGCAGCGATGTAATGACATTTCGCGCGCACTCAACCACCCGTCGCATCGCCGTATGGAGACACGTTCTATGAGATTGTATAGAAATGCGTGGCAGAACGATTGTATCGTTGCGATTTACTCGCTGGTGGAGACAGCCCCTTAGTGTTTTCCACTTGCAACGGTTCGCCATTTGCAGAACAAATTGAAAGAAACTCAAAATTTTAAGAAATTACTCTGTTTTCCTTTATAAACATAACATTTGTTAAAATGTAATGAAATAATAAAAGGTTGTATTATAAATATACGAAGTATAAACAAGTTATTTCAATCGGCGAATAGAAATCCAAATTTTAATTCTGACAAAGTTGATACCAGAGAAAGAATATAAACTTTTGTGAATTAAAAAAAAAGATTGAGACCTTCAAAAGTAACAACGCCCATGCCAAACCTTGGCTCTGGCATGTCTTCAACCAGCGTCCATTCATCAGAAACCGGGTCATAGACCTCCACAGAGGACCCCATGTCAGACCCCACCCATCCCCCAAAAGCGTACAAATTGCTCTTCCAAGCCGTGAGACCAAATTCGCATCTCGCCTCTTTCATTGGCGCAATATCTGACCATTTATCGAGCTGAAATAAAGTTGAGCAAAAAACATGTTGAAACTGAACAGAAAAACATTAAAACTAACTAAAAATATATGTACTTGCATCAGTTTACAGTTATTTTATCGCCGCATTCAAGAGTTGTTTATTAAGTTAACAGGAACTTAAATGTTTCGTTAATTTTAGATAAAGTTTACAGATTTGGTCGGAAGCTAAAAAGGTTTTTCACTGCTTTATACTTCTTCAAATCAGTCTACGACTAATCGTCCATTATACATTGAAATTGAGTTGCACCGTTATTTGATAAATTAGTTAATTTACCAGTAAGTTTAACTTAATAGACGACTCGCAAAACATTAACAATAGCCCGCGAAGCTATGAAGGCAATTAACCACGGAAAAAAACTGTCGTAATTATCACGAGTCGCATGTACTTGATAAAAGAACGGTCTCCTGACAATATTAATTGATATTTTGGAGACCGAATTATGTTTGCAGCAATGACGCCTTTTTGGTAACTTACGAAAACTTTGTAAGGTAGACAATCCTAATAGGTGCTACGTAACATAATTAAAATGGTCATAAAGAAACAGAATAGGTAATAGCTGTAAACTTTCAAAAGTATTTTACGATTTGCTTGTTTCCGAATTTCAATAATCAGATGCAAACTTTCTCAAAATTCTTCAACTATTAATTTTATATCTTGAACTCAACTACGTTTTTCCACGATTTATGGGACTGCATTTAAAAAATTTCTTAGAGTTAATTAAAACTGTAATTCCGGTTATAATTAGGTATAATAAATTTAAGACGGAGTTTAATTAATCAATTATCTCGACACGCGTACCGAGTTCATATAATAATTTGTATGAATAATTAGAAGAATTTATACAGAAGAAAATATAAGACAAAGTAAATAAAAGAGAAAGCAGATTGCGTTTTCAAAAAACGTAAACATTTCGCCGTGTTGTAATCTTCTTAAGTCGAACATAATAGCACAATATGTAAACATACGTCATACCTGTGGATCATAAACTTCTCCATTAGCCAATATTTGGCTTCCCTGTTCACCTCCGACAGCGTAAACTCGACCACCTAATGTGGCAACACCTGGTTGTATGCGAGCTATACCCATTGGCGCAAGCTCCTCCCATTCCCTATTAAAATTTTATTATTGGAATGTTGCCTTAAGCCAACCCTTTTTACTAAAGAAGTTATAAATGTAAATTATTTTTACTAACCGTTTATGTAGATCAAATTTTAAAGCGGAAAAAAGAATGTTGTCTGTGGTAACAGCAGGATGAGGTACGTTGTCGTGACATGACCCGCCTACTATTACAAGGACACGCCTAGCACGGGCACGGGGTTCTGCTGATAGTGATACTAGGGCTCCACGGCCTGATTTCTATAATAAATTTATACAAATTATTTTTTTCTGTACACCTATAATATACAACACTTATAAGACAAAGCACATAGCTTAGTTTTTTATAGCCTAACCTATTCGCACCTTACGGGGCCGTTTAAAGCTTGCTATACTTTAGGGCGGCCTCGGTTTGTCATACATATTTCAATATAAATATCTAATTATATATGGTCTATAGAGTTACTATGATACTTACCATATCCACTCTGACAGTTCTTAAGGCAACTGCTATGGACGGGTCGTGAACAGTTTTTATAGCGCTATCCAATACTTGCGGGGAAATCAATGGTAACCTTACATGACTTAGAACTTCAAAACAATGACGTCTTCTAGTTGCTGGCTCATGCTCTAACCACTTCAAAGCTGGGTATAAAACCTAAATTAAAAATTATATAGAAAATTAAATTTATATAGAAATAAAAGCTATATAGCCCCATATATGTTACAAGATCATAATATAATAATTTTTAAATTACTAGAAATACCTGTGCTTCATTATCAACTTTAAGTTGTTCAGATGATAAAAGTGTTATAAGTTGCTGCAATGGTAATTCTAATAATTCATCACCATTTGCTACCAAATTCCAGTGTGCTTGCGCATGAGTTAAGGCTTCTTCTGCTAACTCTTTACAGTTATGCGTTTCTGCAAATCTGCAATATGTGTCAGAATAGAGCCTTTTAATTAAAAACAAACTGCTTTAAATAGATAGAAATAGAGAGTATATTTATATTATTAAATGCATTTACCTAAATATACCAAGTACATTTGATGGATGAAGTTCCCTTTTTAAAAATTCACCACAGCCATAAACTAGTTCTCTTAACTGTAGCATATCAGCAGCTATCAACAAGTTTTGTACTGTTGCTTTGTCAATTGTTATTTCACCTGCAATAACATTTATTAACATTGTATGTGCAAGAACTGTAGACAAGACAAAACATACTACAAGTTAGTTTCATACCTGTGTATATAAAATCAATAATTAAAGGAAGTATAACTGATGGTACACTATGTAGTAATACACGACCCTTTTGAGTTTCTTCAAGTCCAACATTAAACATAGCATCAAAATATTCACAGCTAGCAGCTAAAACAACTCTATGAGCCTGAAAAAAAGTGTTAAAACAATTATATTAAATTATTGCTAAAGATAAATAATATTCAATCATTGGAAAATATAAGAAATTGAATTACATTTAAATGTTATATTTCTTTTTTCATTTTTCCAAACATTTAAAAAAGTGTGGTAATGTGTATAATACTAAATGAATGCAATTAAAAGAAAGTTACACATTAGTTTACAGAAACACATTTCACTGTGGTTTTGATCATAACTAGACTGATGAATGAGTAATAAAACAGAGGGAAAATCTTATAAAAAAAAACACATACATTTAGTTAACAATAACTTTCTTACAATTAATTAATCCTTATTTAGAATAATTATTAAAGTTACCTTGACTTTTGTCTTCCCAGAAATTAATTCTATGTCACAGAACCTTTCATCTTTTCTAAAGTAATGTAGGTTTGCCGAAACTTTGTAAGGATATTCTCGGCACTTATACAATTTAGATCCCTCTTGATTATTGGTCTCGATCGCGATTGAATTCATTATTATTGAATTACAAGGAATCTTTATCACATACACATAGGAATTTCCTTATTAGGTAGTATAAAAATTCATTATTATTGATTCAGTCTGGTAGGTTTATTTCATGTTATTGAAACTTAGTTATTACCTAATTTATAATCCTTTTTATACAGTAGAAGTGATCAAATCATTCCTTGTTTGAAATAAGATAAATCCAAAGTATACATATATATAAGAGAATCACAACTATTCTCTTACGACGATACGATACTCGTCAGATACTTTTTAAGAACACTTGTCCAATAAATAAAAACTATTTACATATCCAAATAAACATAATAATTATTATTATTTCTACCCACTGCCCACTATATGACAACTGACAATCAGGGTATTGATAAATATGAGGTTTGTCTAATGTCATTTGACATTATCAAACCATATTCAAAAAATCCGAAGGATTAATTTCTCAATTCGTCGTATAGTGTTCTATTTACTTTTAAAATGATATAATTGTCTTTGATAATTTATAATTACGATTGCTATATACTTTTATATACTACCCTTTCGAGCTTTGTCTAAGTCAATGTCAACTGTATAGTCTTTGAACAAAGTTAAGTTGGATCTGTAATTTGACCCTGGCGCATGCGCTTGACAATTTCGGCCATATTGTTATGACGCATACAAGATCATAGGTCTCCGCCAGTGACGATTCTTCTCGCAGTTGACGTGGCTACTACGTACCGTCCCGTTCGCCCACTCCGGACGCAGCATTATACGGTGACGAGGAATACGTAACTGGTGAGTGCATGTATAGAAGACATCTTGCGTTCTGTCACGGTCGCCAAAAAGTGGTGATATAAACATGATTACTCAGCGGCCTAGAAGCCTCACTCTACATCAAGATGCAATGTTCCCGAAATAATGTAAACTACTATGTACGCAATAGGAAATTTTCCTTATTATGACGTGATAGTTGAGTTCAGAATGTCACCAACTATCAACAGTTTTTATATCTGTGAAAATAAATCACATTGGTAATGGTTATGTTATAGAATATCATCGAAAACAGAGCGATGACCTTGAATGTTCTAGGTGAACTAATTTGGCATGGACGGAATGGTGGAGGAGAACGGAACTAGCGGTGGTGCGAATGTCACAGACCCATTGGCAAGTCCTGGTTCGTCTGCGGGCACAGGTCCTCCACATGTTGTTGTCACGAGTATTGTTCAATTAACATTACCTACTCAAGCTCCTTCAGCACAGGTTTCTATTATAATTATGTTTATAGTTAGATCATAATTTTAACATTTATTTGAAGATGTAACTATTATTAAAAAAACTTTTATGATGACTACTACTTATTGTTTACAAATGTGTACACAAATGTTTATTTACAATTTCAGGTGCAATCTGTTATCCAACCTAATCAACAATCAGTGATTCAAACTGCTTCAAATATACAATCAGTGCAACTGCCTAAAGGAAATGTGATACTTGTTAGCAAACCTAATTCCGTTATACACACTACACAAGGAACCCTTCAAACTTTACAGGTAAATATATTATGTTCCTTACAGTGAAGTTATTGTGCTCTTATTATAATACTTTTTGTTATCTAGACCTAGGGTTACCTACTTTATTTTGTGCCTGATTTTTTTTTTAGATAAAACCAGAGCCTAACACACTATTGAGTACACAGGGGCAGTCTTGCAGTGATGAAAGCTGTAGTGATGATGAGAGTCCTAAAAGAAAATACAGGGAAATGCTCACAAGACGTCCTTCTTATAGAAAAATTTTAAATGACTTAGGCGGAGCAGAAATCGCAGGTAATATTGGTGGTACTCTTAATTATTCTTATTAAGTGTGTAAAATAAGTACCATGAAGCGTTGGAACAGTGCAGTATATTATAAAGAATGTGCTATATCATAGGGCAAAATTGAAGATGAAATTTAACCAGTTCTATTGGTATTGGTACAATGCTTAAGCATACTCATAGGTACACAACCGGTAATTTTTTCCACAACATTGTATTGTATGAATTTACATTGCTATAAACTCAGTATTATCATGTAGCATGGGCTACAGTACAAGGTAATATGGTATTACAGACAATCGCATGGGAACTAAACCAGGACCCGAGAATGAAGTGTCGCTGTCATCTCCTTTGTCATTTGCTCCAGGTTAGTTTAATGTGCTGCAGTTGACACTTGACTTTCTGTGTGCAACATGTCACTAACCTGTTCCAGCTCATCACAACCATAAACCGTGTTCTTTCACGGCTTATAACCATTAGCTTTTGGAATATGTCATCATTTTTATTTCACGGCATTACTGGCTCGGTCTTGATTTAGTGTCTCATGGTGATCTGTTGAATACATATCCTTTATTTTTTATCTTGTCATTCTGCCATTTTCAGTTTTCCATTTAACTAAGTGTAAGTGTTATAACAAGTACCTTATTCCTACTCCATTGTAACTAGATGATTATGTATACATTAAACTCTTACTTATAAATTGCAAATATAGTATACTGTCTGATTTTAATGATATATTAATTGGAAAAGCTCACAAAGTGAAATCCAAATCAAGAATTACAAAGTTGTGAAAAAATACTACTTTTTTGAAGTATATTATAGCTTCATGTGTCGCGATATTTCAGTTTGCTATTATGTATGGTATGTACATATTTACTATACATGTAATTACAAACCAATAAAAGTAATAAATTTTTATTAATGGTATGGCATATCCGCGTTATGATAAAATTCCGGATACATCTATTATAGTAAAACTTTTAAAAGAAGTTTTCTATATAAAAATAGCTCCAATAATTTAGAATTATTAAGAAAACTGATCAAAGTAAATACATATACGATTTTAAATATTTTCAAAGTCGAGGTATTTTAAATTGGCTGTACCTAAAAACATGTTTAAATTTATTCATGAAGGGTGACGTAATCGTGCTTGAACCAATGACAATGACGTCATGCCAGCAGCTGTGTAATGTGCCTCAGACTTGAATCATTACCTTAAACAAATATATAGCTTAGATTTAAATTTAGTCAAGAATTGAATAATAATAATAACAATAATTTAAAAAAAATGGTTACTGTAGTATTGGCCTCATACTTTATTATATAATAAATCAAATATATCATTACCACTATCTCAATCTGAATAAGAAGAAATATATTATCTATTTATTACATTTTTCCACTCTTCTCGCATCTTCATTATTATTGACATTTAAATTAATTGTGTATTAAGTATTCCTTATTTAAAGCATTTACATTTAGAATATTTTATAATAATATGGAATCGTTTCTTTATATATATGTATATACTTGTTTGCTTAAATTTATAGTGATGGTAGAAAAGGGAAGTAGTAATAATAGCAAATACCTATCAAAACAAAAATATTTTACTATTTCTTAGCTGATTTAAAGTGTTAGTTTAAAATAGATCCTGTAAACCTCCCGACTCCTTTCCAATGGTGTTTCACAGTACGTGGCATCCATATTCTGCTGCTAATATCCAAAACGTAATTGGTTTAGGTTTGGCGAGGTTCAACGTTCCTTATCCTCAAAGTAGGTATTTTTATGACTTGTCGTTCTCTCAGTCCAGCGTTGCTCTTTCTCATTATTATTGCAAAGCTTTTGCTAGTTCAACGCAAATATGTCTTTTTTCTAAATTTTTTCTTTTGAATACAAAATATATTTAATTTAGGAGATTATTCAATTGACTTGAACATATTCTTGCGTTCTCGCTGTAAAAGTGTACATATGTCTATTCAACTTTAAAACAGGTTAATTAATATATTATGTCTAACGTGGCAATACAATTAATATGATAGATGTTATCAAAAATAAAAAGTTTGATAACTTCTAGTTCAATGACACAAGTGGTCAGTTCCTACATAACTGGTGTTAGGTTCATAGGCCTTTTACATTGTGACAATCGGCGAAGTCCCTTTAACTTGTAAAAAACACATCGAAAGTTCTTTGAGTGAAGAGATTACCATTTATTTATTTACAAATATTTATGATATTTAATAGCCTTCGATTGTCTTTTAAATACTCCATAGTTTCCATAGGAGACGTCTTGGAAGAGCTTAATCTATTGCATAATGTAATAAAAAATATATTTTTTTAAACAGAATACATTTAACATTTACTCTTTGACGTAAATGATAAATTAATAGATATTTTAATAGAAACAAAAAAAATCTTTAACATAATACATTTTAAGCACATCTTTCTACTAAAAATTTGCCACTGTATTGAAAAATTGTACATTACATACATTGGTAGTTGGCGTTTTCTTCTTTTTTCATAAACCTTTAAAAATATGTCGTCACTATAGACGAGGGTAGAAGCCTTAAAAAAAAATAAAAAGTGAAAAAAAGTAATAGTAGGATGAAACCTATTGGAAAGGGAGGAGAATATTATAAAAATTAAAGGAAAAATAATTTACGGGCGATCTGAGGTCGGGAAGGGGGGGAGTTTTAAGGGTAAAAAACTGTAAAAAAAATATTTTTTTCCCACGAAATTTGGTGAAAACTTACCTTTTTATGTCTTTAATACGCTGTAATTTATTTGATTTGAAATAATAATTTTCAATCGAAAATTCACCCGTCAAAATATCAGCTTTTTTCGAAAAGTTGGTGTGCTTTCAGTTCGTTGAAATCTCTACTTTCCTATGGTAAAAAAATATATATTTATTACTATATATATAGTAAATCTTCTCAGAAAATGCAAAAAATCGTATGCAGTAACGCCCAGACCCGTCATCCCCGTCCCTACTTCTCTATGAAATACGAAACTTTTTAAAAATTTATTACTATTTTAAGATAACTTATATATTGTATATACCTGAGTGACCAAAAAAAAAAATTTAAGCCTTTAGATGGGCTAAAATTTTCGTATTTCATAGAGAAGTAGGGAAGGGGGTGACGGGTCTGGGCGCATACATTTTGAGGCTATGAGAAAAATGTGTAAATACAAAAGTTTTAGATCTTTTTATTACCTACAACTTTGCCATTTGACTTTTTTCCATAGGTCTTTTAGTTTTGCCAGAAATCGAGAGATAAACCGTTTTTTTACCCTTAAAACTCATCCCCCCTTCCCCTTCCCGACCTCAGATCGCCCGTAAATTATTTTTCCTTTAACTTTTATAATATTCTCCTCCTTTTCCAATGGGTTTCATCCTACTATTATTTTTTTAGGTTTCAAAAATTATCGACCCTGGTCTACTACTTTATAGCATCGAGTAGTTTTCTGCAAAGGTTTTATTAATTGACTTTCTGAACAGTTATCCCAGCGGGTGCATTACAAACTGACAGTGGTCTTCACACATTAGCTGTATCTGGAACAACGGGCGGCACGGCCATTGTGCAATACGCTCCGAACCAAGATGGACAGTTTTATGTTCCGGGTGAGTTTAAACATTTCAGATACTTATAAAAATAAATAAACAATATTTTATTTATTACGAAATGAACAAATGGTTCTATATTTATAGGTCCTATACTAGAAGATCAGACTCGGAAAAGGGAATTACGCCTGTTGAAAAATCGTGAAGCTGCTAGAGAATGTCGACGCAAAAAAAAAGAGTACATTAAGTGTTTAGAAAACAGAGTGGCCGTTTTGGAAAATCAGAATAAAGCACTTATTGAAGAACTAAAGTCATTAAAAGAATTATATTGTCAACAAAAAACTGAATGAGGTCCAGCTGGCTAGCCAGACGTGCCACTGAAATGCTGGCAGGAACTGTAAGGCACAGCTTGATAGCGTCAATGATGAGAAATCAACGAGTCAGCTCGATCTATTGAAGTGATCAAATTCATCAATTTGGAATACAGTTCTCTCACCAAATGACAAGAAATATTTTTCTGTACACCTTTGAGCTACTTAAACTATATTGACAGATACATCTTTTAAACTGTATTTTTTTTTAAATGAAGTGTAAATAAAATGGCTACTTTTGCCTGAAAGTATAAATTTTAATATGAAATTTAATAAAACTTAAGAAAAGATGTCTATTTTAAGTAAATTTTGGTCTATTGTTTACTAAAACTTAGAGTATTGTTAGAATTTTATTTATATGTTTTTACGATTTCATCATGCTGAGTGATGTTATTGTTTTATCTTACAACTTACTTTTTAAATACCACTAAAACACAATTTAAATTGAAGAAACAAAACATTATTGTACTGAATTATGTTTTTAGTATATTGAAGGTAGGAGTTACTCTCTAGTTTCTCTTTCTGATTTAAACTACTAAAAAAGTTCTTGTTGGCCTACTTCTTTTTATATGTTATAAAAATAGAGAGTATATTTCATACTAAAATGAGTAGTTCACAAGGTAATATTTTTAGGGATATAATATTTTTGTTATTTTTTAAAGAACACCATAATAATTCTGTTGTGTGCCATTTATTATTTTTATGAAATTAATAATGATTTTTTGTAAGCACACAACTGCGTTTTTATATATCAGTGGTAATATTGTTTGTTATTTTATTGTATAGAGAATTATTGTAAATAAGTCTTTATTACCGTTGAAATGAGAATTGTCAGAGAAGTCCTTATGAAGTGATAAAAATTAAATTTACCTATCATAAACCAATTCATATAGTTTTTTAGGTATTATGAAAACCATATAATATGGTTTAATGGATAAGCCAAAGTTATTATTTAGTTTATTTGTGCAATAAGTATTGCAATGTACAGTATAGTAGATATTATACCAATTTTCAGATTGTACAGTGTATGTACAGATAGCGTTTATATAGATTGTATTGCAAATTGTACATAATATTAACAATGAAAATACATTTGACTCACTTCGCATATCACAAAAAAATTGTATGCTCATTACTTTGTACAAAATGTACATGTTGTCTTTAGTTCTGATATGGAAAACTTACACAATATTTCTTATTATTTAATCCTTGAAGGGTATAAATGATTAACTGATTTTCAGAATTAAAATTAGGGTGTAAGTTTATATAAGTGATCAGTTGCCATTAAGACAGTATGACGTTTTTAAAATAATTGTTATTAACTATACATTTTCATTCTGTTACATTCTTATGTCAGCATGTTTTAGTGGCAAATGGTATCTTTAATGTAAGACATTGTGGAAAGTGCCTTTTAAATTAGAATGTGAAAGTTTATACCAACATAGCTTTTTATGTTAACTTATGCTATTTATAATAAATAATAATATTAACTGTTTGATGTAAATGGGTTATTTTATTTAAGACTTACAAAATAATATTTTTTAGTTGTAACATAACACTATTAAGGAACCTTACTACAAATAGATGATATTGTCCAAGAACAAGAAATGTTCATGCATATTATAATCAAGAAAAAAGATAGTTTTATTTGTATATTAATGAAAGAATGTGTTACATTCTTTTATGATTGCCTAGTTTTTATACAGATGAATATTTCATCACTGGCCTTGTGTTATTCAAAAAAATGTATCTACTAAGAATAAAAAATTTATTATTATTACTAAGTTTATTTAGAAAGTATTTCATGTCCATAGTTTACACTTTACAACTGTTTGCCTAGTGGAGAAAAAATGAAACAACAGTTGAAATTTTTAATCCAATTATATTTATTTTCTGAAAAAGTTACATAGGTAAGTAGTACCTATAAGATTGCATGTTAGAAGTGAATATATTGAAAACTTTAAAAGTTACCAATTTCTTTTATAACATACAAACAAGGATGAAATAATATACAAAGCTGGTTTGACAGTAAAATAAGTAAATCATTTTGAAAAAAGCATGAAAATGAAATATCCTCTCAGTGCAAATTAATCATCAAAGGTTTGAGATAAAAGGAAGTTTGCTGCTAGATTTTCATTTTTCTCACATGCAAAGTATGCTTGAATAACCATGTCTTCTGGAAAACCAAGAGCTTTTAATCGTTCTATAGCTTCTTTATCTTGAGGTGAAACATGAATAACATTTTGTGGTGGCTGAGGTAACTGATGCTCTGGGGGCAATACATCTTCAGATACAGCAGAAGCACCACCACTAGCTGGAGTGCTCATTGGTTCATTGAGCATTCTTACAAAAGCCTGTTGATTTTGACTAATTAACTGAAGGAGTCGAGGGTTAGATTGACCAATTTGCTGCAAAATAGTATTTAACAAACTAGGATCTTGCTGGATCATGGCCCGCATTTGTTGAAATTGGGATTGATCACGCAGGAATCCTAATGGGTCATCATTTGAACTTGCTTCTGCCTCTTGTTCTTCTAATATATTTTCAGGTATACCAGTTATTAAATATTCTACAGCTCGTTCCCGATTATTAAAAGATGCACGCAGAGCTTGTTCAACTTGTTGACGATTATAACCCATATCCATAATACTTATAACAGTAGATTCAAAATCCGGATCAGTAGATATTGTTGGGGGCTCAACGGCTCGTTCTGGCTCTGCTGCTGGAGGTGGGTTGGGAGACTCCAAACTTTTGTTTGTAGCATCCCCGCTGTCAGTAGACTTACTTTCACCTGCCTCAGGGGTAGACGTAGATGTTTGTGGTGTATCACCTGTCTTAACTTTAGTAACCATAATAACAATGAATTTCTTTTCATCTATATTATATGTACTAAGCTTATGATCGTCGAGAAGAATTTTTCCCGCATAAATAAGCCTTTGGGAATCCACCGCATAATCTTTACCTTTCTCAACTTCAATTTTAAGTTTCAATGCTTTTACCGATTCATCGGGATCTATTTCGATTTGAAATGTTTGCTGTTGTAATGTTTTTAGAGTCACCAACATTTTTAAAGGTATTATTTATCTTTACTGATAAAAGGATTTTGTTTCAAAATCTGACTCGACAAAATTAACCAGTAAACATAACCTCGTTCTAAAATACCCTAATTCCTACTGTCATCGTTATTCGTTGATCATTGTCACCGCTCCGTGCTCACCAATGATCAATCTTCGTTCACGTTTCTATTCTATGGTCCGACTGCATTTTATTATATAGTAGATAATAGAAGATTAGTTTATGGTAGTATCGTGTATAAGCTATTACCTGCATCAAATACAGAACTCATTTTAGGCTAATATAAAAAACTTGCTTGTCCAATTAGCAAAATTAAAATATTCTTATAATAAAACATGCGGAGGATTCACATCTAGAATAAAATTATTTTGATACTTAATAAAATCGGCTTATTTGGAATACATTAAATTCTTACACATGGTAGAGACTAGACTCTAGAGTCTGTGCGGAAAGGGAACCGGCGTAGCAGTTATGAGTTATTTATTATTTTCTACGCGTTTCATTTATTCACAAAAATTATATGTATACTTTTAATATTTTCATAGTAACGGTAACTCAGTATTGTCGACATAACAGACTCTATGAAAAGTAGTGATTATTGATTAAGCAATTAGGGCTTAAGACATATCTATCTGGTGTAAAGTGATTTTGTCTCAAGCTCCAGGTATCCCTATCTTTTACTGGGGCGTAGAATAAGAATAAGCATAAAAACGTACTAAACGATCAAACGGAAAAAAATGTTGGCCCTTTATTTTCTAACGGGTTATAATACTGCGTAAAGAGGATGTATGTCACTGATTGTCCTATTTTAACTTACTTCGGGTGGCAGAAGTTTTCTTATGGGTATGTAATTAGTATCGCCTTTGTCGAAATTCTTTTGCGATAATAATAACGAGCGGTTATAAATAATTATTGTTTCTTAACAAAAAATATTTACCACGTGTTGCTTAATGTTATAAATTATTACATGACATGATTAAAGATAGAATTATTCAGAAAACATGTAAACGATAAGATTTTATTTTATGAGCTCCGTTAAAATCAAACGTTTGGGGTGTTGTAGTAAGGTAAGAATCACTCGAACTAATTTAAAAAAAAATCCTACCCTAACCTAGTGTTCACTTTATTACTATAAAATGTTTTAATATTTGACTAAAACAGCAGGGTAAGTGGGGGCAAGATGAAAAATGGGGTAAGACAACAAATCGTCTAAAACACCAATTTTTTGAGTGCTGGTATTTTTATTAAAACTACGAGTTTCTAACTAGTCGAAGTTAGCCGCTCAGAGACTCAGAGTACGTGAATTTGGATAATTTCGACATCGTGATTTGTGATTTATTCTTACCCCATGTGTTGTAACTTGTAACTAATTACGTGTGGGTGCGACTGTTTCATATAAATATTTCACTATAGTTTTTGAAGTTATACTTCTTTAGGCGCGTTATGAAAAATTGATGAGAGTGAAATTTTACGATGCGCGCGCACCTGAGACACAAAGTTGTCAGTGTGATGATAGCGTGCGCGAGCGAGATGGGAATAATACAATCTACAAGTAAAAATAAATAGAAAATGCGTGAAGTTAACAGCTATGCCAAGAATTTTGAATGAACATAATGACATTTACCTTTTAAACAAATAAAGGAGTTTTTATTATTTTTTCAAAGAGATTTAGCAATGCTTTTTCACAAAGACCTATTGTTACTTAATTAAAAGGTTATGAAACATACGTAGTTATTAAATTAAATGAATAATATAATAAAATAATAAATAATAATAATCATTATTATTAATTAATAATTGAATATACTAAATATTATTAAATTATTAACGTTAAATATTTGTTATTAATTATTTAATATTTTAAAAAAATAAAGAAAGCCAAAGAAGTATAACTTCTTACGCGCGTACATAAGTACACGCACCCTTTTTTTTATTCTTAAGTCGGAAACACACGTGTCGTGGCGTGTCGTGACGCGCCAGAAGCAGATTGGTTTCATACATTTAATATGATTAGAAACATATTTGCATGTTGTGTCGTGTCGCAACACGTTCTGTCTAATCATACTAAAATATGCTTCTGGCGCGTCACGACACGCCACGACACGTAAGTGTGTTTCCGACTTTACTTACGATCACATTAAAATACGGCTATTTGTAGTAATTTACATTACTTTGCTGGAATCTTCTATCAGCCTGGTATAATTTGTTGAAAGAAAACCTTAATTTAGTACTGTAATGGTTTTGACTGAAATCTAGTTATTTCGATCAAGACAGTCTCTAGTTATTATTTTTCTTTCAATAAATTATATTTATAAAAAACATCGATTTGTACGATAAAACTAATTGACATCAATCAAGAATTACAATATTAACCTGTGTCTCCTGTGTTTACGAGAAGTACCACTAGCAACCTCTTAAATTATATGGCTAATATTAGCCCAGTAGTGGACAGTGGAAAACAGGTAGACGCTGCCTATTTCGATATAAAAAAAGCGTTTAATTTGGTCGATAATGACGTGCTTTTGCAGAAGTTTGCACAGGTAGAATTCACTCCTCACATATTGAACTTTATGGCCAGTTTTATCGAAGATCGAACGCAATACGTGGAATACGCTGGGTGTAGGTCAGAGGCTTATTTTACGAGATCAGGCGTGACACAAGGCAGTAATTTGGGACCGTTGGAATTTTTGATAATTCTATGACCTACCGAAAGTCAAGAATGCAAAGTGTTTGCTCTTCGCAGATGATCTCAAACTGTACATGCCAATAGAGAGTACAGATGACTGACTACGGCTGCAGCCGATCATCTATAAGACATCGATCGAGTGGTTAATTGGAGCAGGAGAAATAGATTAGTTTAATTTGGCGAAATGCAAAGTCATATCTTTCTCAAGAGCACGATTGCCCACTCGATACAATTTATACCATTAGTAGTCTAACGATGGCTAGTCTCAGAGGTCAAAGATCCAGTAGTATATTTAATGCTAATCTTGGTTTTGCGCACCACATAGGTAAGACATGCAAAAAGGCTTACAGAAACCTGGGGTCATATTATAATTAGCTTGTGGCTGCACGAATATCAGTGCTATTAATATTTTCTACAATGCGTCAGTTAGAAGTCACTTGGAGTGCAACGCAATGGTGTGGGCCCCATATGAGGCTAAATACAGCCTCATGTTAGAGCGAGTACAATATAAATTCACCCCTTAGGTACCTCTACAAGAGACTGTATGGAGTGTATCCCTTGTATCCGCTTATGTACCCGACCTTGTTTCTTCTGGGTATGGTGGGTTATGACCAGCTACACCTCAGAAAGGAGCTGGCTTTGTCAGTGTATTTATTTAGGATACTTACGGGTCGGGTTGAAAATTTGGATATAATAGAGAGACCGGGTCTACGGGTACCAAGTAAAAACCTGAGGCGGAATGTACCGCGCGCACATTCCAACTTGGTTAGCGACGCGCCACTCACGCGAGCAATAAACAGAATTTCTATCGAGGTAGACCTGTTTGTTTGTGCACTGGCTGAGTTCACAAGAGTTGCTTGTTTAGGATAATCGGTGTAGGTATTATTGTGTCGTTCTTTCCCATTAGTAGTAACTGTTAAGATAGAAAATGATGTAGAAATAAATAAATTTTGTAATTATAATGTGTCACTTCACTGACATGAAAACTTAAATTCGAACGACACACCTAATTTGATAGAATTTAAAAGGCTTAAAATCATCAAGCATCAGAATTGGAGAATATGTTTACTATCCACCAACTAAAGAAGCACAAGAGCGTACATTAGGCATCCAGTGGTGCCAACTTGGGGTTTCCCCCCCAAATTTAGTGGGAATGAAGATTTTGAGGGTTCTATAGGAGGTCATTTAAACAGATTTTTTTAAACGCATGATTCTATACAGTTTATATTAAACTTAGAACTCAACCAACAAACTAAACCAAATATAAAAAAGTCTTAATTCAACATAGAATACTATTATTATATGTATTACTATATGTAATACAATATGTATTTTTGCACTTTGTGCCTACCATATGTAATTTAATACATTTTTTTTTCTTACAGTGGTTGCCTGGAAGAGATCGCTCGAAAGCGATAAGGCCGCCAGTTGCCTTTCCTTTACTTGTAATTTTGTTAAATTTTTATATCATTAAGCAAGAAAGTGTAAATAAATAAATACTTACACTATTTTATGCTACATGAATTTATGTTTGATGGATGTATATTTGAAATTACCTCTCAAACCAAGTGTACAACAAAAACTTGATACAAGAAGTTGGTTCAAGGGAGAACATTCTGTAGGATTTAGCATCACTGTAGGTATCTCATTCAGGTCATCAATTAGCTAGGAGTGTAAAAGTAAAGTGTAAAAAATTCCTGTTTTAGAAAAAACAGTTTAAGGGTGATAGATACTGTGCATTGTGGTAATTTTTTTGGAGTACAAATCCTTTAAATACCTTTTTACTAGTGTTCATAATTTAGTGAGAACATACATAATGTTTTCTTGCTCAATGTAGTTTTTCTATATATAAAAAACAAGCTGTACTTTTACTGAGCCTAATGTTTTGATCAAAAAAGTTAAAAATATTTAAACACTGAGAAATTACGTTTCTCTTATTCTTGTAGTATTTTAATTTATATGCATTTTTTCTCTACTTACCTTTTCATTCCCAAATGAAAGTATCAAAACTAAGCAGTAGTAGTAGAGTTCCCTAAGTACAATAAGATTTAGAGTATACTACAGTATATGTCTTAAGAATCATAAAATTACAACTATCTACATGTTATAGCAACTTATGTATTCATTAGATCCAGTAGATATTTCCATTCCAATAGCTGGTTTTGGTAATAAATGTAAAAAATAAATTGTTATGGATAGAACATTTACTTTTCTATAATTTTTTCACAACTAGAAAGCCATTTTTGAGGTACAAGTTTTTTATAATTCTGAATTTGCTTTATCTCATTGTATAAAGCAAGATCTATAATGCTAAACTGATTCCTAAAAACCCATTGAATATCATTACTTGCAAATAACTTTTTACACAAGATTGGTTTTTGAGACTCTGATGCATTTTCAAGCAAATAGCAAGTATCCAGCAAATTTTCCATTTCAAAATCATTGTAACTGTATACAGCAGTGTTAGGGTACTGTTCACAAAGGTATCGTAAAATATTTACATTACCCCTAATTGGTAACCCAAGAGATGAAATTTTAAGTTCTGTAGCACCTGAAAGGAATCAAAATTATTTATATTTAGACATTAAAGGGACTTGCAAAAAAAAACCTAAAATTCAGAGCAGTTTTAAAAGTGCTTTATTTTTACTAAAAACTGAGGCAACTATTAGGACTAATGTTTTTGTGTTGGCTATTCCATTTATTTAACGAGGAAGGCTATTGCGTGCGCTTAGTGATTTGACTACTTCGTAAAATAATATTACTAGGGTAAAGTGACAAGTAAAACATTATATGTAGTAAATCTAACCTTTCTTATGAATCATTGTATATAGTCTATATACAATAATTCAAAAAGAATATTTTTTTGTTAAACATATAGTGGTATCTGGGACTTTTAGGTAGATCTTGATGTTTTTATAGCAATATTATATAGCATACATTCAACAGGGAAAACGTAGGGTTCTAATAGTAAAAGAATTTTTCAAATCTTTCCTTTTTAAAATATTATTAAAGATAAAAATTAGACAGAATATATCCGACTTTTCTGTAAGCAATAACAGGCTGTACTATCAACTTTTATCTAGAACTCAATCATCTTTCTCCATTGAGGCAGCATTCATAAATATAGCAATAAAATTTATATGAATTTTTTTTCTGAAACTTTTTTTATATGAATTCATTCATTAATATGAATAATTATCAAAAAATATATTATTCATAACAAGTATTTATCCTGTTCAAAATTCCTCTCGACTTGAACAATTTTTTAAAGTTTTAAAAGAACTTCACAACAAATTTATGTGCGTTTATGATGTGCATGTGTCATAACATGTGTGATACCATAGGAAACATACGCACAACGGACCAATTAGGAGTCTAATTGCGGAGAAAGGAGTCCTACTACCCTACCATAGGAAACAACAGCTAATAAATATTTATAACTTACTTTTTTTAAATATTATCCTTAAATTTACTCTGGGAGTATTGCTTCCTGCTGGTGGCATATCAATGTTTTTGAAAAAAGCCTGAATTTTTTCAATTTTGTTAGCAAGGACCGAGGAATGAATGTGCCATGTATATTTTAGACCTGGATTTTTAGTTAACAAAGGTTTCAGAAACCATGGTAATTTATCTTGGTTTAAAGTGATCACAACTTCATTCAGATCCTCCTGGAAAAAAAATAATTTAGTTTTATACATTATATGAGATAGCAGGCTACATAAATAGATGTAATCAATCTGTGTCCAGCTTGATAGTAATAAAGTAGAAAATATTAAGAAACCAGTATTATTACTAAGAGTATCTTGGTTTTGGTTCTTAAAATTACTAAATTATATTTGTTAAAAAATAATTATTCAGATTAAATATTTTGAGATTTTGTAAGATAATATCTATTTTCCAATATATTTTTTTTTGTTGTTGTAAATGACCACCAACTTTGAGTGCAATTTTAGTAAATTTAAGTTTTATATTGTTGTTCATTAAAGATTACCTTAATTGGTTTTAGTGCAAGGATAGAATTGTCTTGTTTTATATTATCAAACTTGCAAGAAGATCTTATTACATTTATTTGATCATGAAGTTTATCCAACTTCTTTAGTAGTTGTTTTTGTCTTTCCTCAAGATCTAACATAGCTGTATGTGATGTATTCTGAAATAAGCAAGAGTTATCTTAAATTTTGATTATATTGTTATTAAACAAAGTTCTCATTTAAAGGAGAAAACTATATGTACAAAGAAATCTAAATAATATATCACTTGATATAATTTAGAATAATAATAACAGTCAAGTGGTGCTGCAACCCTATATGGGTCTTGGCCTCAGATTTATTTTAAATATATCCAGGTAATCAGCCATGCATGTTTGAAACATGTCATTGATTTTGGGGTTTGGGTCATGCCAGCTTCCTCATGATGTGTGTCTTCACTGTTGAAGAAAGTGCAATGGAAAAGGAAATTCCGTTGGTGCACAGCTGTGATTAGAAACACAACATCAGGGATGAAAGCTACGCTTAGCCACTAGGCCACCTCTGGTTCTTATATAATAAATATTATTTTATTGATTGAAACCTTGACTAATTGTATAACCTGGTCACATATTTTTATATCAGTGTCATCTTTGGTAAGTTCTTGCGTAGGATTCCTCATATTATACATGCAAGTTGGTAGATCTATACAACTATTCATTGGAACAATAGTTTTCATTAAATACATTGTCCGCGCCAGTCTGAAATATGATGTACTATTTGGTAGTCTTGTTTAAAAAAACATTTGGAACAGAGGATTGCTTCTTAAAAGGTGCACTGATTTTGACTTAAAATATATAGATTGGGATTTTAAAGGTTAGTTAGATATCTATAACAACACACTTTTGTACATTAAATATAAAAGAAATAATACCGAGGACATATTAGCGAGTTCAGAGAATCAACAGACAACAACTGAACATAATAAAAAAATCACCTTTCCTCTACTCAAGACTAATAATATAATATTTTCCCAATGCACTATGCGACTGCTCACTGCGGGCTGAGTCAAGACTTCAAGATTCAAGAGCAGTGAGCACAGAACAATAGTAACAAAAGTTTTTTTTAATGGAACTCGCTGTTGGTATTAGGGCCTTTTCAGTTCAGCTCTGGCTGTTTTGACGAGCGTAGCTCGGCAGAAATGGGCTTTATGATTTATCCCACGAGTAGCGCTAGGGCTTTATCTTGCGAGACTCAGACCTCGGCTTGGGTCGTCGCGGGGTGATCAATCGCCTAAAGGGCGTGATTAAAGCTTACTGGAGTGAGCGAAGTACGAAGTAGGGATAGGATCTGAGATCGATCAAATCGATTTCCTAGGCCCAATAGATCGATTTTTTAAATCTATTTGCAGTACTGAATCGATCTAAGAAATCGATGTGAAACCCTTGAAAATCGCCTTTCGATATTTTTGCAGCATTTTTTTCCGCGCACCACCGCTATGCGGTACCAGCTGCCCACTTAAGTACATCCGAACCAATTCCATTCCGGCATTGAGTGTCCATGGGCGATGGTATCACATCAGGTGAACCTTCTACAAGTTTGCCAAATTTAAAATCCAATACGTATTTGACGCACGGGATTCAAACTTAGCGATAAGTCTCGTTTTTAGTCTTTTTAAAAAAACATTTATTTAAAATACCGTCAACTTTTTTGTAAGTCTACAATGAAATATGGATATTAATTAAATAGGCACTACATTTTAATATTATCATTGATTTACCACAACTTTTGTGCACAAAACAAAAGTAAAAAAAAAGTGAAAACTGAAACTTAAATTGTACACAATTGTTTATTTAAAAATAAATCTTATAAAGCAAAATTCATTAACAGATTATAATAATTCATATAATATTACAATTATGCCGCAGGGTAACACAAGCTTGCAACATATTGACTCGATAAATGGGAAAAAGAAAATGGCTGCCATCTTCGGAAATAGCTTAACTTTTACGACGTGCGTCCGTTGAATGTATTTGTGTTATTTAGTGTCTGCCAAGTCGTATTTGCCATTAAAATATTTTTCTTCAACATAATACACAATTTGTCATATATTCTATTGTTTATAATTTAAGTGAAATTATTTTTTTCATTATCATAAAAATTCAATAAACCACAAGGTACAAAATCAACATGGCGGGTTAAAAACCAGCCAATAGGCGCTCTGAATGAAGCGTTTGAGAATTGCATGAATAGGTACCTACCTACCTATTCACATTTCGCGTCACGAAAAGCTTTTGGTGCCTTCTGTAAAATAAATAAAAATTACATTATGTATGTACTGTTAGCAGTGATCTTAAAAACTTGCGATTTAGACGTGGAAGTGTAAAATGACAGTAATTTTGTAATTTGTGACAATAGTTTTGTGCTAAGCGTCGTATGATGCTGAGATTATGAATCCTTTGGATTTAGGATGAAGCTAAATAATATTGGTAACATTTTGTTTTTGTAAACAAGAATGTGTTTGCGATACACGTGCGAAATAGTGTTTAATTGACAGTTGTAACTAATGATGTCGGGGAGGGGGGCTAAAAAACGCGGGAGACCCCCAAAATCCGGCAATTTTGAAAAGAACAGGAAATTTCAATATCATTTATTAAAGAAACCCAAATATTTGCAAGCTCAAAATATTGGAACTGGATCATTGACGAGTACTCCATCTGCATCAAGAGCGTCATCGCCTCAAGGTAGTGATACTAGCAAACGTAGTACTCGAAAACAAAGAGGTGGGAAATCACACAAAAGTAGAAGAGGTGGTCTATCTAATGCTTATTCGAGAAGAGGATATAATCCTCATGCAGCAGATTATCATGAATCGGAATATCACTATGGATCTGATTTTGGAGATGAGTTTAGCGATCGATCAGAGCCTGAAGAGGAGCGAGTTAGCGAGAGTTCAGATGCTTCCGCGAGTGATGGTGCTGCTGGAAGTGATAGTGACTTCTCCGTTTGCTCTATTAACTCTGCAGCGGGAACTCCACGAAAATCAGTTTCAAATTTTAATAGAGTTCCTAGTCCTGATCCTCTATGGCTTCAGCAAGAACGTCAAATACCCAATTTAGTACTTCCAGCCTCATCTGATGACTTAATAATTCCTCATAGTTTAGTTTTGCAAGTGGTTGGTGTTTATGAGGTCTTACGCCACTTTAGACATCTTGTACGGTTATCACCTTTTAGATTAGAAGACTTGTGTGCTGCAGTTAGCTGTAATGAGCAAAGTACACTACTAACAGAAGTACATATAATGCTATTGAAAGCACTTTTACGGGAGGAAGATGCCCAACAAACTCATTATGGTCCTTTAGACCATAAAGATAGTGTAAATATAACACTGTTTCTATTAGATGTCATGACATGGCCAGAAGTTTTGAGAGCTTATGTGGATAGTGACAAATCATTTGATAAAAATATATCAAGAATTTTGAATTCTTGTGAATATCCTTTCACAACTGTTGAGGATCGTCTTGCTGTTCTGCAGTTTTTGTGTAATCAATTTCTTATCACTAATCCAGTTCGTGATGATTTGATCAATGAAGGTATATTTTTTATTTAATTAGATTCTATTATTTATAAGATATAGACATTTGAATAAATATTGTTTTAAGAAGTGATTTGCCTAGCTTGCTGCATGCTCACAAGCATTATAGTCTGGCATTTTAGTGTAATCTAATATTTAAAACAGTTGGTTTTAAATATCATAGAATTTTCAGTCTGCAATACTGAATACTATATTTTTGTTGCAGCACCTATACAATATGATGACCATTGTAGAGTATGTCACCGCCTAGGTGATTTATTGTGTTGTGAAACATGCCCAGCAGTATATCATCTTGAGTGTGTTGATCCTCCACTTGAAGATGTGCCTTCTGAAGACTGGCAATGTTCATTATGTAAACAACATAAAACTGTTGGTGTTACTGATTGTGTATCTGATGCTGAAAAACAAGGATTACTTTGTCGTCATGAACACCTAGGTTTTGATAGGCATGGTAGAAAATATTGGTTTATCTCAAGACGGATTTTTATGTAAGTAATGATAATGTTTCCTCATTTTTCTAGTAATTGGTTGATATTCAGACAGAATTGTTTAAAAAAAAACCCCATAATTTATTCATTCTAGTGAGGCTGAAAATAGTGATGTCTGGTATTACACAACAGCAGACCAGTTTCAAGAATTACTAAATATCTTAGATTCTAAGGAAATGGAAGCTCCCCTTGTTCACGAATTACTTGAAATGAAGTCTGAGATTCTTCGTCAAATGGATATTACAGAAAAACTAACCAATCAAGCTAAAGGAAACAGAAAGTCATATTTAGAAGTACAGAATGCTACTATTCTTAAAAAGAAAATATCAAAAGAAACACATAAACAGCAAGGATTCAGTATTAACGATGATGACAAAGGGTCAGATTCACTTGTAAGTGATGGAGATATTGTACATGAAGTAACTGTGTCTAGTGAGGACAATGAAAAACATGAAGAAAATGAAACATATAATCCTGATGAAAAAAGCACTAATAAAAATAAGTTAATAAAGAAAAATGAAGAAGGTAATCTTGTAACATCTAGGTCAAATGCTTGATTCTTATTATTGATTTGCCATAATGAAGCTTTCAATGGAAATTTTTGCTATTTGCAGCTGAAATATAAAGACATTTTAAAGTATTTTAATGTTCGGAGAATATTTGTTTCACTTAGTTCCGAAGTGTATATCAATCATTATGGCAATTCACAATTAATTTTTTTTACTATTAAGACATCTAAGTAAAATATGGTGTCAAGTTCTCTTTTATCACAACTCTGTAGTATAAAAAAATTATAAGATTCTTTTATGCATGTGTTTATTTATATCATATTTTCAGTATCTGAACGTCTTACAAGACAAAGATCAAATCAAATATCAAATGGAACATACTTATTTAAGCTTGGAAATGAAAATGTATTTAAGACTTATGTCAATCAATATACATGTAATCCATTAGCCCTAAATAAGCCCCAGAGAAATGAAGAGCGTGATAAGAAGAGATATATTTCACACAAATTTTCACTGTCATCAGGACAGGATTTCAAATGGATTGGTTTATTGAATGGTATGTAGAAATTGTATTCAAGTTGCAGTATATATTTCCTTTCTGATGTAGTACTTTTATGTATTTATAGATAAATTTTCCTGTTTACTTCAATTCTATAATTTTTCTATTTAATCTCAGGCTTTCTAAAGATACTGTATTAGTTGTCTAACATTATAAATGCATATAGAATAAATGAACTCTTTTTAATAGTGTTATATTGAATCTTGAACATTGTTTGTTTATTTAAAATTACCAATAGCTTTTAATAATTAAAACATTTATTTTTATTTTAGCGACAAAGCCATTGCTAGTAGCAACATTGCGTCAAACACTTCTACACTTGGAGTCTAATATAGTTATACAATTCATGCATCCCAATTGGAGCCTCCTTAGGAAGCCCTGGGTGCAAGCTGTACAGCTCTGTCAAGCGCCTAGAGACTTTGCAAGAGCACTTTGCGTGTTACAGGTAATGTTGTCATTTTCACTTATAATAATATGTACATTGTTTTGGACATAGAAATGGTTTTCAATTTAGGGGGATATATAATTTGTTTAAAAAAAATTAAGTTTAATAAAAAAATTATAGGCATGCATTAGAAGTGTGGTGTGGGTACCAGCATGGCACGAACAGCTGGGACATGTACGGCTAATGCGGACTACTGCGTTGGAGCGTGAAGAACGTAAGAAAATCGACAAGAGAGAGAAAAAAGAAAGGGACGAAGAAGAAGAACGCTACCGCACTGCATACAACTTTGTTAAATACTCCTTAGGTCTTCACAATCAGGTATTTATAATATATTTATTAAAAATAAATAAATATATATTTCTTTTTAATGACCATTTTGATATACATATTATTAATAGCTTAGTTTAAACATTTTAAAATATGATTTATGTATCAGGTGTGGAAACAAAAAGGTGAAGAATATAGAATTCATGGCCAGTGGGGTTGGCTCTGGAATTCATCTACTAGAAAGTTTAAAAAGCGTTACAAGTGTATAAAATTGGGCTTGAGCAATGGGCCTGCAAAAATTGCGGTTAGGGTAAGGGAAGGAAGCATCATTAAAGTGTTGGCAGTGGAACCTAAGACATATGATTACCTTACATCTGATGGATCTACTGATGAAGATGTTTTGGCAAAATGTAAGTAAATTAATCAATACATAACAATTCCGTATATATCATTCAATTGATAATACAATTTAGACAATTGTTTTAGTTTTTGTTTCTATTATACTACCTTGCTTTCTTAATTTTATTTTTCTATTGAGACATTAACTAGTGATTCTCTTTTAGTACCCCCATCAATGAGAAACATGACATTGGAGAAGGATGTTGAGGATTTTGAGGAAATTAATGTAGAGAAAGCTCTAAGTTCCACAGTAAGACAGTACTACCCTAAAATTGCAAGGAAATCCAAATTAGATGATCTTTTGGCTCGGCGTACATATCTCAAGTTCATGGAGGAAAAAAAAATTGGAAACCTATTAGAGAAAGTTAAAAAAGAAGAAGAAGTAAGAAATGAAGAAGACAAGAGTATTGATATTGAAACTGAAGATTCAGAAACCGAAGTGACAAATATGTGTAATACAACTGATGATGATAACCAAGAAAATAATTCTATAAGTAGCGAAATAGCTACTCTGCGAGAGCAATATTTAGTATTAAGTGGAATTACCAAGCAGTACAATTGTTATTCCTTAGATTGTAGGAATGCTGAAACGGTCTTAAACCACACCGGATTAAAAGTAAACTGTTATTCACCTTTGTGTATTGAGAAAGCTAATTTATTAAATAAACTCCTGTCATTGTTAAAAAGCAGTTCTGCCAACAACAAAGGTTTTGGTTTAAACTCACAGGAAAATAATAAAATGTCAATATTAGAGCAATATCTTCTCGGCAAAAGATCTAATTCAAATGAAAATATTTTGACTGATTTATTGTCTGCGGTTGCATGTGCCCAAGATTGTGACAATAGAAATACAGATTGCTTCATCAAGCGAAAGTCCAGTAGTGACTCTGAACCCAGCCTGAAAATGGAAAGAAGTGACTCCAATATTCCTTATGCTGATAGTATTCTTAAAAGTGAAAATACTTTAGATGAGTGTGCAGTTCCAGCTGTTGGCAATGAAATGGATATAGATATAGGCAATAATAACATTGATGAGAATGATGTGGAAATTGGACCTTTGAAGGAGCTTACTGAAAGTGATTGTCAGAATGCAGAAAGCGGCGACGATAAGTCTCGTCCTCCAATTCCCAAGTTAAAAATAACTAGAGGTAAGTCAGCGAAGTTAAATAAAGAAACAAAAAATTATGAATGTTCCGTAAAGAGTGAAAAAACAGAAGACGTACCCAAGTATCGAGCTGCAATAAATAGACGATTCGGAGCAAAAAGTATTAAGAGGGAGGAAAAAGCAATCAAAGAAGAGAAGACTGAATGTGGAATCGTTAGAATTTATTCTACAGAAAAACCATGTGGAAAACTTTACCTGAAAAGAGTCCAAACTTCCGCAACTGAAAAGAAAAAGAAGAGGACACCAGTGAAGTATCCACCTTGCTCATCATTTCACACGAAAAGTAAAACGAAAACAATAATGGTCTTGCCGAACCATGAACTAAGGAAATTGAGTCGACAAGGAGGTCACTCGACGGTGCACGGATTTAGCCATAGCGCTAAACCGAATCAGCTGGTTTGGCCGTATCCTTGTGCTAGGCCTCTTTTCAAAACCTGTTGGTTGTACAGAACGGTGAACCTCCAGTGGTTGGCCAGTGCGGCCCTGCAACTTAGAGTGATGTGGGCATGCCTGCGCTGGGACGACATGGCAGCCAAAGCTGCCACGGCTGACGGGAAGCACCAACTCACCACGGACACCGAAATCGTTTCCTTGGAGCTTTTGAAACATCGTCACGTCGGCCAATTTTCGGAAAGGACACAATATCTAAGACGTCGGGTTGTCATTCCTCTTGAGCTTCCCAAAACCGTGCGTGAGGTGACGTCCATTCGCAGCGGTTTAAGGAAACGGAAACGTGCGGAATCCCCACAAAATACGGAACCACAGGTCAGTTTATGTTTCCTTTTTTGTTATATTTAATTTGTTTTTCATTTCTTATAGTTAGTATATTTGTTCACCAGACACGCTGAGCTTATCGAGACAAGATTATCCTTTAAAACTGGAACATTTAATTTGTTATCCTGTTTCACAATGTATGGATAAAGTACCAAATAGCTATGCAACACATAAATTATTTGGAAGATAAATAGTTTATCCTACCAATAAGTAATAAATAGCTGATTTGGAACCTATGTAGAACTTATTCATACATTGTGAAACAGACCCTAAGTGTGTATGAAAAATTAAGTTGTTGGGGCACTTATATTACCATAATTAATTTGGATTTGTGAAAACCGTAGGTAACGGAAGAATGGGTAGACGAGGAAAAGTTGGAACTATGGGAGGTGCGTCAATACGGCGAGCGTTCGGAGCGGATGACGCCAGTGACGCGCACCACCACGGGCAAGTTGCCCCTCAGGGGCCGAGCGCCCACACCTCCCCCCCGCGCACGCGGCTGACATCAAGGACAAGATGGAGCAACAGCTTCGCGAGCAACGCGCTGCCCACCAGCAGAAGAGAGCGCTCGAGTTGTCGCAGGGTATATAGATATTATCGCGTTTTATTGTTGCTTTGTTTGTCTGATCACTTATTAACCGAGGAGGATATTCCAAAATTATCAATCAAAGTTTGCTTTGAATACTTAATAAATAAAGTCTTACTTATCAACTACATACTTCATAGAAAAATTATTTTTTAGATAAATCGAAGGGAACGCCCAACCACAATTCAGGGAAAAATACTTTGTCGACACTATTGACTGCAAACACCCCTACGTCAGGCGGACAGAAGAATGTTATAGGAACTAGAAGAATCATCATGACTAAGGGGAGCGACGGGACGACACGCGTCATCAGTCAGCCCGTTCAAAGTGTGAAATTGTCCAGCGAATCACCTAAGCCGATGACACCCTCCCAGAAAGAGGGCCCCCAAAAAGTTCAAATCATACGAGGGCCCGACGGCAAGATCACCGTCAAGGGTCTCCTGCCGGGGCAACAGTTGGTGCAGATGGCCGACGGCAAACTGCACGTCGTGATGGCTGGCCAGCAAGGCGGCACCGGGCAGTTGATCGCGGCCGCCTCGGGCAAGATTGACACGGAAAAATGCAAAAATTCCATCGAAAAAACTCCCAAAGTAAAGCCGGAGGAGACGAAACCGGTGCAACGAGTGCTGCAGCCTTCGCAGAGCGTGACCGGTCGGCACCTGGTAGTGCAGCCCGCGCAGCCGGTGGTCGGGCAAGCATCGCAGCAGGTGATGGTGCCCTCGCAGCAAGTGGTAGTCCAACCCTCGCAGCAGCTGGTGGTGCAGGCGGGCAACGCGGGCGGCAGGGCGGCCGGCGCCGCCACGCCTCGCATGCAGGCCGTGATGATGCAGGGACAGCTGGTGCAGCGCGCCGCCACCCCTCCTCGCGCACCCCCCCGTCACCCCCATTCGCCCGCAGACGCCGCGCCCGCGCGCTCAGCAGATCGTCGTCAACAGCCCCGCCCTGGCCCAACAGCTCGCGACCGGCAAGGTGCAGCTGGCGACGGTCAACGGGCAGCAGGTGCTCATCCGGCACACGGGCAATAACCAAGCGCAGATAGTCGCCCACATAGGGCAGAGCCCCGTGCCGACGCAGGCGGCTTCTCCGGCGGCCCCGGCGGTGCAGACTCTCACGCCGGCCCCCGCCCTCCAGCCCGTCTCGTCGGCGCCCCCCGCCCCTTCCTTGGTGAGGCCCCCGGCTCTGGTTCCCGCCACTTCCAACTCGCCCCAGCAGCTTACGGAAGATCAGATCATGGAAAAGAGGTTGCTCGCCGGACAACCGCCTGGAACTGTGATAAAGACTGTTACGGCTCAGGTGTGTTTTGTTGTTGAACAATTAAATGGATTTGTTATTAATTCTTAAAGACATTATACATTTAAATCTCATAAAATAATATTGAATAATAAAATTATAAATTTCGTTCTCAGGTGATGCAGACGAGCAGCGGTCCCAGTATCGTCCTACAGGGACTTCACGGGTATTCCTTAACCCCACAACAGTTGGGATTAGTGCAACATCAAGTCAAACAACAATTACTAAAAGGTAACAGGAAATGTAGCGTTTTTAAAATCTATAGTTTCTAGTAAAAATAAAAAAGACGACTAATTAAAATCTCCACTAAAATTTGATATTAATTGGCCTTTATCTTCCAGCGCAAGAGTCTACCGGCAAGCAGGGAATGTTGGGTCCGCGCAAGATGTACCTGGCGGTGCAGCCCGCGCCCACAGCCCTCCCCGCGCAGCCCATGCAGACCATACAGCCCATTCAGCCCATCCACTCTCTCACGATACCCACTCCCGCGCACCAGGTAATTTATTATTATTAATACAGTCATGTCTCTGCAACTGTGAAAATCGACTTCAAGCCAGATGCAACAGAACAAACTTGAAGACTATATTTGTTAAATTTGATAGGAATCGACAATTTTGATATTCGAATCGTATTTGTTAAATGTACAATTTTATATGCTTCCGAACAATACAACTGAACCATTACCGTAATAATATCTAAATCTGATTTGCGGTTTTCAATTTCCGTTGTTTTAAGAATTAAAATGGCGATATGATTTTCATAGGTGTAACGTAACATACACGCTGTACATATTTCTATAATTAATCGAATAATAAGATTTTTCACTATACATCTCTTGAATTCAGTTCTATGTTTATTAAAATCATATCTAATGTTAATTTGTAATCCCATTCTATGTTAAGTATATTAATAACGACGAAGACTTGTAAAATTCAGTTATTATTATATGGTTACTTGTATAGTTCACATTAAACACAAAACCATATTAATTTGATTTGAACCTAACCTAAAATATCAATTAATGTCTCTACAGAAGAAGGATCATTATTGAAATTTGTAAAAACGATTGAAATGATAACAAATTTTAACTGTTACACTATTTTTTTAAAGTTTTAAGTGCTATTTAAAATTATTATGAATATGGTTTTGTGGTCATACTTAGGAATTTCCTTCCAAATAGACTTCGTTTCGTATTTTTATGGATAAAATTGAAAGTACATAGTTATCCTTACGAAAAATGTAAAGATTTTTATAAGACTGGTTTAATATAGACTCTCATAAGCTTAGAAAGTAGGCAATGGACTGATTTGTTTGGACGATTTTATGGTCATATTTTATACCAAAGAAATAGGCTGAAAATTTTACGTTATTTGCTTGAAATAAAAGCCTGACATTCTGTCGTTTCCGCCGAATATTCGTAGTGTAAGTAAAAATATTAAAACAATTTCTTATTATAAATTTATGTGGCTTTTGGGGCAAGTTGCAATATACTATGTTCTACATATTCTAAGTATGTAAATTGTGACGGTTGTAGTAAAAAAATTCTGTAAAAGGTGATATATTATTAAAATTTTCGCCTCAAAAGTAGAACAATTATTGCTAGCGTTAATTTACATTTAAACAGTATTATATCACTTTTATATCGAAGCATTTCGTATTTTACTGACCAACGAAAAGGGGCATTTTATTCCTGAATATTGTACAGGGGATGGGGTATCTAAATTATTTTGATTTTAATTACTTTTATGGAAACAAAATATTTTACCATAATTCTTTAGATGTCCCATCCTTCTTAATTTACCGTCATATATTAAATATAAATAATGAAATCGTAGTAACTGAATTGCTCATACACCTCGTGAAATGTAAAATTGTAGTACTACATTGATATAACGGACAGTGCAATATAATCAGTAAAAAATAAAATAATATGAAAATTATTGACTTTCATTTGAATAGACCTTTATTGTTTGATAAAATTTCTGTTTTTATTATTGCTATTTTGTGGGGGTGTATGGGCAATCTTAGACGATAAAATTATATAAGAAAAGATTTCATTATGTCACACATTGTAATTAACGTATTATAAATCAGTAAATCTATAAATGAAATTATCATATATTCCCACAAAACGTTTTTGTTTCTTATTTTGTTTTTTATTTAGTTGGTAGTAGAAATATGATTTTGTATATATTCTAGGAGACAAATGAGGAAGATAGATTAAAGCGATCTTTAGTAAACGGTGAAGACAATGTGGCAGTGGCGGCAAGTAGCAAAGAAGCCGTGCCCTCGAAGCCTGAAGATATACTGGGAAATATTACTAAAACAGATATTGTTAACTCTCAAGATGAGACTCTAAATAATAAATTTATCCTCACTCCTGACTACATCCAACAGAGTAAGTATAGGCTTTATCAAGTTTTAATACCAGGTTGACACTCATAGCGCTGTTACAAGTGTTAATGTAATGAAGAAATAATAAATGCAAGAAATTAAGTCAAAAACAGTTATGTCTACGTTACTTTGTTACATATTGTTCAATTCTATATTGTCTATATTTTTAACTTCTTCTAATTTACGTAATAAATTCACAGCAATCAAAAGTGCCTTAAAGCAGGAGAACTTGAATCCTGAAATCGAGGAGAAACTACTGCAACTACAGCGGTACCAAGAGAAGCAGATGAAGCCTGAGATTGTGGAGCGCGAAGTGCGGGCCCTTCCACCTCCCGTCATCTCCCCCTCCCCTTCGCCCCCCGCGCCTGCACCCCGCCGCCGCCCCCCCATCCGGCACGAAGATGACGACGAGTGGGTCGAGACGAGCCCGCGGAAGCGAGGTCGAGCGCGTCCACCCTCCCCGATCCCCAACCTCACTCCTCCCAACCCGACACCGTCGCCCCGCGCCCCTTCGAGACACGTCCCCGTGCTAGCGCAGCCCCTTCACGCTCCCCCGACGCCGGCCCCTCCAACGCCTCCCAGAGCCCTCCCGGGCCCCAACCCCGCACCCCTCTCGGCCGCCGACGAGCGACGACGCACAGCGACGAACAACTCGCGCTTGCAAATGATACTGTTCAAACACAAGGAGATGCTCAAAAAAGATATAATCAAGAAGCGTGGGCTATTGGAGAAGGAGCTCGGTGTTGAAATACAGGTGTTTGTTTTTATTGTATTGACATTAATTTAAAAAAAATTGTGAGATACCAAGAGAGGCAAATATCGTTGCATTGTGTATTCTAGTGTAAACAGCTCTTATTAACTATTAAAATTAAACATTCTCTAACTTTTCATCCAGGCATATTTATCTGATTATAAACTGTTTTAGAAGGAGTTATCCGCTGAATTGGCTTTACGAACTCGTGCCGAGAGAACTAAACAAGAAGAAGTCCGAGGCAAACGACGAACTACCTCGGTCAGTCGCGATGCAACTCCGAAAACTAAGAAGTCAGTCAAAAAAGAGAAACTCTTGTGTATATGTCGGACTCCATATGATAATACCAAGTAAGTTTTATTGAGACCAACGGTGCCCATCACATAAAAATGTCCTTTTGTTATTTAAATAGGCTAATGTTAGCACTTACAAATAACCTGACGCCACCAAACGGACAAACATGTAATTAAAAATACAGATAATAATGAATTATGTAATTGACACATTACACAAAACTTTAAATATTAATAATGTATTTCTTGAAATTACACTATTTACAAATGATTCACACAAATCATTAATATTTTACAAGGACCTTTTAAAAAAGGCTTCATCTTCATCTAACTTTGCAGATTTTACGTGGGTTGTGAACACTGCAGTAACTGGTTCCACGGCGACTGTGTCGGCGTCACTGAAGAGATGAGTAAGACTATGGAGGAGTATGTGTGCTCCGAGTGCAGAAGGGCTGAAGAGACGCAAGAGCTCTACTGTCTCTGTCGGCAACCCTACGATAATTCACAGTAAGTTATTTCAACTAAACTAAACTGATGTCTCATTTTGAGCATGTGCTATCAAAAACATAGCCTATTTTAACCTACTTGAAAAAAGGAGGTAATCAGCGACCCTGTAAGAGTATGTATGTTATGATTTTATAATATGATTTAGATAATTAATAATTAGTCTTTTAAGTACCTGTGCTAAATTTCTTGAGTGTTTTGTTCACAATTTTTTAGGAAACTAAAAGATCATAATGATATTGAAATGAAGATTATATATATTTATTTCAATTAGGTTAATTCCATCTTCAAGTTTCATCAAAATCGATTTTTTAGTTTTAAGGTTTCAGACAGTATAAAAACTGTCAACATTAACATATGTTTGAAATCAGTTTAGTTTTTCTAAGTAGCTTTTCTGTTACACAAATGTTTACTTTTAATATGGACCTAATATGATGTGTTTCGGTATTGTTAAATTCAAATATCAACAAGAATTTTGACAAAAAAAAACAATATGTTTTTTACTACATTACTCATAACATACTGTAAGCCAATTACACGACAGTCATGAGAAGTCAAAGTCAAAAGTCAAATCGTTTATTTCAATTAGACCATCTAAAATGGCACTTTTATGAGTTTCAATAATAAATCCAATTCACAGGTTTTACATATGCTGTGATCGATGTCAGGACTGGTTCCACGGCAGATGTGTTGGAATACTCCAGTCTGAAGCAGACAACATAGACGAATATATTTGTCCGAATTGTCAGAAAAATAATTCCGTCAACTTTGCAAATATGAAGGAACTCACCCCCAAAGATTACGAAAACTTGAAACGACTCATCAAACAAATTCACTTGCATAAGAATGCGTGGCCTTTCATGGAGCCGGTCGATCCTAGGGAAGCCCCGACGTATTATAAAATAATCAAGGAACCCATGGGTGAGCTGCTTTTGAATATACTTAAACTAGTTAAGGGGAACCCCTTAATTTTCAAATTTTTTGTTTCAACAAGAGAAAGTTTACAAAAATATATATGTATATAAAAAAAGTTCTTTAAGGTTTTGTTGCACAGCTGTCCTCTTGTACAGCTGTCTTTGTGGCACTAAAGCCTCCTCCAGCTGCTTCCAGTGATTCCTAACCCTGGCAAGTCTTTGCCACAGAGAACCGGTGGCTTTTTTAAAGTCATCAGCCCACCGCGCACATGGTCTTCCTCTCCTCCGCTTGGTGTTGTAGCGAGGTGTCCATTTTGTGACTTTTTTCGAACATTTTTCTCTCTAGCCTGTGAGCAGGTGTCCTGTCCATCTCCATTTAAGCCTTTTGGCTCTGGTCATTGCGTCTTCCCAGTTTGTGATCCTTCGCAGATCTCCTTAAGGACCTACCTACACTCAATTCAATTTATAAATTTGGCCTTTGTTCTTAAACTCTAAGTAGTTGTCAACAAAGCTTTAATTTGATTTATACAGAAGTAGTAGGTTTTTATGAGATTATAGTTAATTAGATGTATGTATAGATTAAGCTCTTTAAATAATAAAAAAACTAGTAAAGTCAAATATGCTATTCCAAACAAGTAACAATACTTAAATAGGCCTAAATTATGAACTAATAATATCTCTATTTGCAGATCTTCAGACGGTGGAAAGGAAAGTGAATGACCAAACGTATAGTACTTTGAGTGAATTTATTGGTGATATGACTAAAATATTTGACAATTGCCGATATTTTAATCCAAAGGATTCTGAATTTTATCGATGTGCCGAAGGACTAGAAGCATTTTTTGCACAAAAAATTAAATATTTTCGTGAAAAGTTATTTGAAACCACACAATAATAGAAGTGCTTGTGAATTAAACTAAGTGTGTACGAGATTGTGTCGGTTTATTTAGAGATGTATCTATTATTTTACTACTCATTGTGATCTGTATCATCTGTAAATTGTAAAGTGAAGTGGAGGAGAAAATAAACTGTATAAATTATTTCTATAGATATATATTAAGATGTCAGCTTCATGTGAAGTTTTTATTGTATTTATTAATTAATGCTTATCACACGGACACTTCATAAGCTGACATGCACTTCTCGGAAGAATATTATGTACCTATATACTTTATGAAAAAAACATTATGTTAGCTATAACTTGACTTGAGTTACTTTGGTAGTGCATAGCATAGGTAAACTTATTGTATGTAAGAAATAAAATTTTTATTAACATACACGAATTTTGTTTGATTTAACCAACAACAGTATTGTACTGAATTATTATATTGACAAAGTTGAATGGCGGCAAAAAAGAAAGCAGGCCGCGGTATTGCTATTAAACTATATAGATCAAGCGTAAAGTTTGTTTCACACGACCATTTCGCTAACGATATGATGGGTACACGAAACTAAAAAAAATGGCTTGGATAGAAGTCAGCTGCCTCGTTGCTCTATTTTGTGCCTCAATTGTAGGCGACTAAATCGATGACTTAAAACGAGTACTCTTTTTAGTAAAATTAATCGTATTTATTTATTCACCTAGTTACAATAATTATTTACTGGAATTATATTAAAATACGGTGACGGCACAACGTTTTGAAAAACTCATTATTTATAAAATGTTATGTAAATAAAAATGTTTATAATTTATGCCCAAAATGAAGTATGGCTGTTCTCCGTGGATTCATCCCGCGTTTCACACTCATTAAAAAATCGGTTGTCTGTAAAGTCGGTTGACTGACGATAGTTGAACGTGACAACGTCATAAGAAAATTTTAATTTTATTTGTTTGAAAGATATTTTGTATGGATATAGAGAAGGAGGTAAATGGAAATCACAATTGAATTGATCAAGTTACATATTTTATTTGTAGGCATCTATACAATTATGTCAATTTATGTCAACCCGGAGACCGTTTGTGCCTCTTTGTCGCTCAATTCGCGCTCTCGTTTGCACTTCAAGCCTTAAATGGAACGCCTCAGAGCGGGGTAACGCCGCATGCGTCAAGAGCGAGGTAACGCTGCATGCGTCATGTTTTTTCGTGCGTGCAGCCGGATCCATCGAATTATAAGAGACGTCACGTCAAAAACGTGGTACTCCGTTGTTTTATTTATAGGATAGGGTAGTACAATAAAAGAAATACATTTTAATTAATAATATATTCACTTCCTAGTCTTTGTATAATTTAAAATAAGTGTTAATACTTTTTAACACAAATGTATAAAATGTAGGTAATGGCACTAAACGTTTAATAAAAAGTCCGATACAAAACAGAAGGAGCGGCTAATAACGCGGCTTGCGTTATTATAAAACTGTTATACTATTCTTAAATTATATAGAAAATGTGTATATGGCCCATATGTGGCTAATGCTTCAAATGAAAATATTTATTTTAGTCTTGATTATTTAATGATATTGTCCTATAAGACAATTTTTTTCGAACATTGACTTTTGCGAAATTGGAATTAATTTATTTGTTAAAACCACACGTAATGTAAAGATATTTTAGAGTGTTCATATCTATAAGGTTGTGCCAAATAACTTTATATGAACTACTGTGATTATTTACAAGAAGCAATATTCTAAATCAGTCAAAATTACGTTCTTAATAGAACACAATAGTAAAAACTAAACATCTAAACATAAACTTCATTCACTGCTAACTCTTGAATTCATACATTTTACGTATCTCCTATTATATCAAAGTGCACATAAAAGTGCTTCCGAAGTCCATCCTTAGCACAAACGATCAAATTGCTAATGCAAATAGTAAATTAACTTCAATAGCGCTCTGTTGTATTGGAATTAACAATCGTTTCGAATAGAATTATTATTTTTCATCTGAAGGGGGGACCAAACGAGTCGATGAACACCCATGTGGTTGGTGCATTATTGGCCTTTGAGGGTGTAGTACACCCGTCTTTTAACAAAGTTAATCGATTATATTGACTTTGTGCTAAGGCCGCGGAATATTTGATTAGACGTAATTGTAAAAACTGGTGTATAAAGCTGCACATTAAATATTACAAAAATAAACTGGATGGATAAAAAAGTAAAAAATAAGACTAAAAATATAAAAATACATTAGAGTAAGTACATAAGGTTTCAAAAATAAGTAAAAGAAAATATTTACAAATTGTACTACAACTCGGAACATTATTAAAATTACATAATGGTACCTTAACTTTAACTTACACATTAAATTAACTATTTCATAAGTTGAACATTACTTATGATTGATATGTACAGTTAAGACTAACTCTGCTTGTTCGATTGTCTCTATTGGTCTCACAGTGCCAGATAAAGAAAACAAAATATCGTACGTAGACTTCGAAAATATATCTAAATATGAAATAAAAAATTAAAGATGAATAAATACCGATTTAAAATGATAAAATAGTTATTAGCCATAGACGGACCGCATGTTGCAGTCAAGACCGACTGCAATATGCGGTTTGCTCAGGAACTGCTCGAGCGGTCCGTGTATTGCGAATATGAATTTAGTATGGAAACTGCAGATCGCCGTGAGGCGACCGCATATTGCAGTCGGTCTTGACTGCAACATGCGGTCCGTCTATGGCCCGCTTTATTTTAATTAATTAATAAGATATTTCAAAAAGCTTTTCTTGAGGGTTTTTCACTAAGGTATTGAAAGTGTATGAAGAATAAGAAGAAGGTATTCTAAAAGAGTTTTGGAATACTGAACTAAAAAATCCTAGTCTCGAATCATTTAATTTCGTTAAGTGAAGTTTAAAGTCAATATGAACAAGCAGCGTTAACACTAAGGAATGGGCAGTGTTAGATATGAAGCGCGTGCGTCGCGTCACTGGCGTGTAAGTGCGACGCGGCGGTCTCCTGTCATACGAACGAGGAGAAACCCGGCAAAGGCGCCCGAGATCTCGCCATATTGTTCATCACTATCTGACCCCCGTTTAGGCTCACCACTGCGCTGCCCTCGGGCTCCGAGTCCGTGTAACTGGAGTAGTTGCGAACGGGTCGTTGCCGCTTCCACGATTGGCGTAACGTATCGTTCACGTTCGCGTAGTGATTGACGAACGAGTGAGGCTCCGACCTCACGCTCTCGTTCTCGCTTTCCGAGTTCTAGAAAATACGATTGTTATTATTAATCAATATAATTGGATAGCTTTGTAAGATTTAACGCGGAAATACTCGCTATTAGCTCACAACACGCTACTTGAAGCTCGAAAGATAGCGTTAGAAGAATCGAACTACGTGCTGGGGAGAAGCGTGACACATAACTTGTTATATTTACCGGAAAATCCGAACGTAGAGTACGGAAGAGAAAAGAACGAGTTAGTGTAAGCCCTTGGGGTTTAGACGACTGTGATCCTGATGGTTATTACCTGCGAGTCGGAGGAGCTCATCTCCGAAGGTTTCTCGGTGACGGAAGAGTCGTCTGGGTTCTCGTCGTATCCGCGGAGGCTTTCTTCGTCGCTGTGGTAGGCCACGGAGGCCGGGGAAGGTCGGGGAGGGGATTTTGCTAAAGCGGGGGCGGGAGGTGGCTTTCGACGAAGCGTTCCGGCTCCCAAGGCGGCGGCTGAAGCGCTGGATCCAGCTCGCGACCGGTACAAGTCCAAAGCCAGGGATCCCCGTTCCTCCGTCTCCCCGGCGAGTGACTCTTCCAGCGTTTTCTGCGCCTCCTCTGTGAGACCGATATAATTCCCTTGAATAGAGTAAACATTCCTCACAAGGTAGAATAACGGGAAAAATAAAACTGGATGGATGTTCGTCAAAGGGCTTAAGGTAAACAAACTATAACGAATGTGTAAGATGTTTAACAAAACAAATAAAACCATTTAATGAAGATGAAAGTATTAAAAAGGTAATTTGAACTCACTTTTGTATTTATAGCTCTTGCTTTTGACGCACAATATAGCTATGACCATAATGATGATGATAATGGAGGCTGCAGCAAGTGCCACCATAAACCAGGTGCGTCGGTAAAAAGGGCGATACTGTAGGTATCCGTACTCTAGGTACAATTTCGAAGGCGTCACTATCACCTAAAAACAATTATCTATAAAGGATCACAGATTTAAAGAACATTACTAGACTAAAACCTGTCGAAATCATAGTTTGAAAATAAACTTTCAGGGACGTGTACCTAAGCCTTGGCTTGACGCACAACTCTGTATTAGCCTTCTGAACCTGACATATTTCGTCGATTTTTGAATTATCTAATGGTGCACAACCCTGATCAACGCACGACCAAGGTGGTGTCGCAAGCTTAAAACCCTGACTAATGCACCGAGGGATTTGTCTATTTATATGGGGGGGTGCTTTTGTAAAACGTTACGATACGGGTCGGGGATTGAATTACGCGTTATTGTTAATATTATTTTCGACTTTCTAGTACTTTACACCACATAATGGTAACTTTTAGGTATAAAGTGTCACGAGGTGGTCACGAAACGTTTTACTATACTTGGGTACATAAAAACGTAAGGCGCGTTACATTTGTGTCAATAATCTCCAAAAATTGCGTGACGTAAAACTTAAAACTTAACTCCCTTAGACAGCATGTTTGATCACCTACCTATACAGGGTGTATAACACGGCTCTTGTTTTTTTGTTAACATACCTTATCGCTATAAGTAGGGTTACTGATCCCATACATATTGTATGCGATCACCCGGAACGAGTAGGCTGTTGAGGGAAGGAGGCTTTGGTACGATATCGTGAATTCTTCCAACATTCCGTTACTGGTACGCGTTATTGTCTCCCACCGCGTGTCATCTGAAATATTACCAATTAAAATTATTGTAAATTACTCGAAAATTTTCGGCAATTGTGGCCGGCTATGTAAATAATGTAGTCAACACTCGCTTTTATTTAATGTTTTCAAGACTTGGATTAACAATGTAGTTAATTTTACTTTTAGGTTTTGAGAATAATTCCTCAATTGCATCGTTCCTATATCTTAAAGTAGTTGCTAAACAGTATCTTATATTTATATATATATATATATATATATAATTATGCCCGCTGGTCGTGTACCGTTGTCAATTATCCCCCAATTGCTGGGTCGGCTAGTATATGTCGGCGGTAGTTGATAGTTGGTACAAATGAGACAGCGTTATCGAGCGCTATCGACACGTGCAAGCACAGGTGCGGTCTTAACTGACTGTCACCTCTTTCCCTCACTGCTATTGCGTTATATTGATTAAATTATTAATAATTGTATTTCATGGTTTACTTCTGATGTCTGGGCCTATTCCTACATATACATATCTAGAACTAGATTGTTAATGAAGACTTACATGCTTGCCAAGTTTCCTTTGCTGCATTGAAATTAAATTAACTTTTAATACTAGATTGTTACTAAACATACACATTATCAACATTACAGTTATTTAAATATTCGAGACTTTGAATAAGTGGAAAGGTGCCACATGTATTATAAGTAAAAAAAAAACAACATGACAGAAGCCAAGAATTATTTGCCGACAATTAAAAAATACCTTTCTTCCGTCCTTCAATATAATATCCAAGAAGTGGTCCCCGTCCGGAAGGGGCGTTGGTCCAGCGTAGATGTAAAGCTGCGGGGTCAGCCCTTAAGGCAAGGGCCCGTGGGGGCTCTGGAGACCCCGGCTGGGGCCCAGTACGAACTCGTGATTCCCCAGCTCCCCCAGCGCCAATAGTCACTGCTCGGACGGTGAACTTATATTCGACTTCTTCTTCTAAGCCCCCGACGGCCAGCCGGCGCTCGGACACTTTCTGTTTTACTTGTTTGCTAAAACCTAAGAAAATATCTTTATATATATAATTCTTCTGTGAGTGTGTATGTCACTGAACTTCATTCAAACGACTGGACCGATTTTGATGAAATTTTTTGTGTGTGTTCAAGGGGATCTGGGAATGGTTTAGATTCACAAATCAGCCCGGCAGATGGCACTGCAGTCGGTACTTTCATACTTTGCTTAATATCCTAATCGCTTTAAATATCATGCAGGACAACGTCTGTGGGGTCCACTAGTATAATATATAAAGTTTATTAGTAATCATAACAATCAAATATACAGAATTTACAATTTTCTTAACCTACATAGTAATAATAAAAATAAATAAAAAGAAAATTAAAACAAATTTTAGAAGTCTGGTCCCTGTGGCAGTGTTCCTTGAACGCTGGCATAATTTCCTTACTGTATTGCGATACTTATTTTTTGAGCGAGGAAAGCCCTTGGCTCTACTTCAAAGGGAACAAAATCGAAGTTGTAGGAAATACTCTTAACGGATATTTGACCCGTTTATCATTTTCCGCCTTCTAAAAGACTTACAATATATACTTGTAAATAAGCCAAAAAATGTTTACTGAACACACTAAATTATTTTCTAAACCAATAATCCTCTCTTCATACTTATTCATAATAATTATTAATTAATTAATAATTTCTATGTATTTTATCATTTATATCAAAACAGTACCATTTTTAAGGGAAATCTGAAAAAAAAAAACACAAAACACAAGCTCGCTCCAGGCTTTACTTACGTTCATCCTGCTCGATAGTCTCGTACGTGACGAGATAAGAATGTATGAGTCCGTTTCGTCGTCGCGGTGCTTCCCACGACACTACCAGACTGTTCATGGTGATATCGCTGAAGGTGATATTTCGAGGCGCTGATGGTAGACCCTGATGTGTTCGTACCAATATCGCGTGTGAGCGCGGCCCATCGCCAGCTGGGTTAAATGCTAACACCTGTATAGGTAAATCGAATTCAAATTTACTAAAAATCTAAATGTTAATAGAGATTAATTTGTAAATGAATCCAATAACACTCTCTTAACTAAAGAACTCTTTCGTCTCTTTTTATCTAATTGTGATTCAGCTATGTTGAAGAGAGAGAGAGTGAGAGTATTTGGTTGAAACGCAAACGAAATGCATTTTTACTTAAGTTTTTTCTATCAATAATATTAAATACTTTCCTATTATAGTATTACTTTCGGGTTATTGCAAAGTAAAAAGGGGCATATATATATATATATATATATTATTTTGGAAAAGTTCATGTGTCGTTAACCTCACCTGTATACGATACTGAGTAAACTTATCAAGGAACACGAGTGAGTGGGAAGTAGCAGTAGCGGGAACGACTTCTATTTCTTCTTCAATGCGTCTTCCGAGCTCTGGTTCCTCGGGTGACTCCGTCATTAGATAAAAAATCTGGTAACATTTTATTCTTTATTATTACCTTCTATATTATAGTAAAATTGTAAATATTTGTCATACATGATATTATGTTTACTCTACAGTAATTGGACCCATTGTACTATTATTAATACAGATATATATCCCGGACATATGACTACTAGGCGGTACAATAGCACCCAGATGTATTTATTCTCTATATTCCACCGAGGGGCTAATTATTGTTTTTTTTAATTGACAAAATATAGAAGCTCATGGGTATATTAGTCTTCACAAACGTGTCGCAAGAAGTGTGAAGTGTGATCATACTTCATAGAGTTTATACGTACGAAACAATTTAAAGCGGTTCTGCTCAAAAATACACTGGTCGTGGCTGAAACATGCATTAAAATTAAAGTTATTCATAAATTAATATACCTTATATCCAAGCAAATCCCCATTTTGCTGGTCAAGTAGCGGCGGGTGCCACACAAGACCGACCTCTGTGGGGGAAACGGGTTCCGCCGCGACTTCTTGGGGGGGTGCAGTGGGCACCGCTTCGCCCACCCACACGACAGCTGGGACCCCACCGGGTCCTAATCCTTGGGAGTTCACGGCAAACACGCTGATCTCATAGTTACGGTCAACTGCTAGTTCAGTTAGAACCACTTCTTCGCTCTGTAACACGTAAACAATGCTCATAAAAATTCACGTTAATGTGAAATTTACTAAAAACCAACTAGTTTTTTTTAATTTGTCAACACTGGTATAAAACGAAAGGCTATTTACACACATAAAAAATTTTGTGTAAAAATTCAATGCACATTTGATCTACAAATCTTATGCTGTCATTAAACTGACAATATCCCAACCACTCCATTGTGATTGTATATTAATAAGGAGATCGAGTTTTGGGTCTAAGACAAGGCGGTTTCTTCATGACATTTCTATGAGCGAGCGTTAAATGCTCACATAGACAGAAAGTCCATTGGTGCACAGATGGAGATCGAACCTACGACCTCACACTGAAGCCACTTGCTGATATTGACAGATGTGTAATATTATGTATCTGTATGTACTAACATAGATAAAAGAGATTCTATGCAAATTAGTTATCTTAATAGTTTTCAACGCCCAAATATATAATAAAGAAACCTAGTTAGTTTTAAAAATGATTTAAAGTATTTACCTTAATACCAGGCACCTCCTGTTTCATAGTATTTTGGAGCGTGGCTGTGAAGTCAGTGAGTGGCTGGTACAGGACCCGGTACCCTCCGGTCCGAGCATCACCACTCCAATGGGACTCTGGGAGCGGTGACCACTGAACGCGTACGCTGCTAGGTGTAATTGGTACTACACGTAGATTCTCTACGGCTTTACTTGGCGCTGGAATTAATACATACGCAAAATTATCTTTGATTGTTAATGAAGCTTTACTTAAATAATGCATAAATTACAAATTAAAATATCGACCTTTTAATATATATTAATGAAAACATAGATGAAAACGCTATGCTACGCTAACGATAAATGAAAACGCTAGATATTCTGAAAAACAAAATAGAAAGTAATATTGCAAACAGCAACTTACCGTCAATAGATGGCGCTATTAGGATTACTAAGATAATAGATCTATAATCTAGAATTAATATCGTAATGGAATAATATAATAAAATAGCTTTTTGTATACAAAAATTACCTGCGGGCAAAGTTCGAACGGTCTCAGTGGCGTTGCTATATCGACTCGGGCCAATATCATTGGTTGCTCTTATTCTGAACTGATACGCTGTGTAAGGTTTGAGGCCGTCCACTGTGTATGACGTCGCGAACGGATCAACTCTTTCGGGTAAAGTTTGCCAGGTCCCACCGTCTTCTTTTTGCTGGACTGTGTAGTATCTGTTCAATCAGAATATAGTACATATATATGTATTAACTTTGTCATGGAAGATCTGGGAACCGTGACAGGTTTTTTTTACATATAAGGTTTCAAAAATATTACACATTGTAATGCATATCTACTTATAATGAATAAACACTTTTTGTAAATAATTTAAGTCAACATATTTCTTATCGTCATTAAAATAATTATGTAAAATACCTCAACGGGGCATATCCATCATCGCCCGGTGTCCAAGAGAAGGTGATCTGATGTGGTTGAAGTAAAGAGCGAGCGAGATGTGGTCGACCTGGAGGCGCAGGCGCAGCGCGATTGGCCGTCGTTAGCACGAGCACGCGTGCAGTCGCACCCCACCCTAGACGCGTTTGCGCACGCACCGTAAAAAGGTAGTATTGCTCTGACGATAGCTCCGTTGCTCTGTTTACCGAAATATATTTTGAATTAACTAAGTTACTATTTTAGATTAATACTATTTATATGCACAGTATAAGCTAAACTTAGGGGCAACTAGAATCTTCTTTATATTTTATTTGACGTTCAAAGGTGCCATTTTAGGTAGTCTAATTGAAAAAAATGATTTGACTTTGACATTTTATCTTGAAATTTTCAAACTTCGCAATATATGATTTCAGTAACGTAACATACCTAAATGTCCTGTCCGAGGGTAGGAATTCCCTTGAGAACATGTGTTGCGTAGAGATGTTCAAGTGATATGTGACCTGATACGCGAGTATTTCTCCGTTGGGGTCTTCAGGAACATCCCATATAATTCGGGCAGATGTAAACGATACATCGGGGAATGATACGTTTGAGGGTGGTCCCGGAGCTGTAAATGATTATTATCAATCTACTTTTATGGCTTTACAGTGTATAAAGATTTAACGTTCGCTAAACAAGAGACAACTGTAAGACCAATTAGTATAAGATTTGTATGTACCAATTACCAGTATTAAAAAAAATTTATTATTTATTTCTAAACAAAATAAATACTTTCATAGTTTTAATATAATACCAATTTTGCTCAGTTAACCCTTAAACTTACTGTAAATGTTTTTAATTAACCGTGTTCAAGTGTATTTTTAAGAGACTTTCTATTTCTTTTTTGACGTTTGAGTAAATAAATTTAATAATATTTATCAACATGTCTGCAAAATAAATTTAAAACATGAATAAGTTCGAAAGAATCAATCTGGCAATATCATGAGCGTAGAATTACAGTAACTTAACAGTTAAAACTTTGGAATTTTAAGTCAAGTATAATATGAAATAAATTATATAAATTGCATTTTCAAATTCAAATTAATTTCAATTTGTTGCCTCCTTTATATTAATGTAGAAATGTAACAAAAATTCAACTTTTGATAATTGTTTTAATGGTTTCTAATACTGGTACATCTGGTTTCGTTTCAAGTAGTAAAATCACTCGCATAAACAAGATAAATTAACTTACTGTCCTCAAACGTCCTCACTGTGACTGGTGGATCACTAAGCGCTCCATCACCCAGACGAGTATAGCCCAATACTTGTATATGGTACACCACATACTTCCTCAACTCTGTTAAGGTAACTGTATGCGTCTGGTTTGATGGTATGGCCTGACATTCAACCTTTTTATGGTTCTGGGGTGGAGGGACTACTGCCGCATAGCAAACTTTGTACCCCTCTATGAGACCGTTCTGATCTTGCACTGGTATGTCACCCCATAGTACAACTACTGTAGTCGACGACGTAGCATTCGCCGAGACGTCCGTCGGTCCACTAGATGGCACTGTAATACAAAAATAGTAAATAACGTTTCTTTTTTCAGTCTGGAGATCCTGTTAAATATTTGACTTAGAAAATATAGAACAGAATCTCCAATAGATTTTTTCTGTCATAATCATTAAGGCATGTATACATTTTATCGGTGTATATAGGCTGGAATAGAATCTAAATTTTGTCGCCTCTATGACATGTTTATTTGACAAATATGTAAAATATTCTATGACCACGCGGTACGCTTTATACTAGCGGAATATGGCGGTGCCTACATAACCCCTCCTATATTTATAAAGGGTGGCCAAAAAGGCGTGGATCAAAAGCAAATAGAGGATAGATGAGGTCATCAGCTGCAAAAAATTGTTCTACGGTAGGTCTCTAAGCTCAACAACCCCTGCAGAGTTATAATTTATTTTGCGTTTTTATAAGACAATTGACTTTTTTTTCTATAATACTTAATCTGCACCGTTGTAAAACGACTTTTTCACCACCCTGTATATTTCATTCTGTTTTAGATGTCAAATACATAAACGAGTTCATTATTTATAAAATAAACTTATCACAAGTTTAAGCTAGTATTTCTAAATTAATACAGCCAATATTTCTCTTAGTTTGTGTAAAATTAAAATATTTTTTACCAGCTTCCCTCGTCCTTTCGGTAGCAATAGGACTATCTTCAGAAACTCCGACCTCATTAATAGCTGTCATACGAATTTCATAGAGAGACCACTCTTCCAAGTTTGATAGCACGTGAGAATTTGCTGTATGGTCCTCAATAACTGCATACAATGTATCGCTTGTACCGCTTCTTCTATAGGTAATGTTGTATCCCTTTGGATTGCCATACCATTCACTTTGTTGCAGAGGCTGTGGTAAGAAAAAAAGAAATCTAAAATTTGATGAACTATAGACAATCACTTCTCACTAGTAATATTGTTTTTTAAAGTCCCGTGAGGTGGTTTAGGAGATATTACTTCTACCATTCTTTTAGATAAAAAAAAATAATAAATAATCAGCCACCACTATTTACGCTATGTGGGTTAACGACTAAGGGTTATTTATAATTTGGTATAGATTCTCTGCCGTTGTTGCTACTGCATACTAGGCTGAAGTTTATAAGTGCTGACATAGTGAAGGAACAATATAAATGAAATTAATCGCAAAATTTGTTGCTAAGCGCAATACTCGGAGGCGGCTGGACTAATTTGAATATTTTTTTATTTATTCCTTAAACTCTGAGGAAGGTTTTGATGGAGAATAAATTTTGAAAAAATTAAAAATAATGAGAAAAATTTAGTTTCCTTTAGGAAAACGTTTTATTTTTAGGTTTTTATTTCGGAAAAGCAAACAGTCTCTATAGGGTAGATTAGCAAAAGGTTTCTTATGTTATTACGTAGCTACTAAAAAGGTAGGCTAATTAAAAAAATCTTATTAAGGCGAAACGAAATTCGCCGAGGCTGCTAGTTATAACTAATAATACAACGTAATTTTAGTGTTTATGTACCGGATATGTGAACATTCATAGATAATATATACTATTGTTTTCACTTGTGATTAACAGATATCATTGTCACGAATTATATTACATTTTTGTATTATATTCAAATACGTAATTGCGATTCACGATTACACATCAAACAGCAAGTTCAGTATACGACGAATTTTACATGGCAATTGTAAATTAAATGTTAATTTTGTTTTAATATACGGCGTCTATAATTAATATTATATCTGGTTGCATTTAAAACCTGCACAGTTCATACTGGCTGTTTCCGAATTCGCATGCCTGATTTTTTAATATCACTATTTTGCCTATATATTGCCTTCTTAACTCATAACTCAGGGACACTGCAGCATTCTAACGGTGGAGTTTTTGTAATTAATGCAAAAGAAAAATACTCTTTTTAATATAGACTATAGACTTATAAATATAGTTTCCGTGATTAACATAGGGGGTTAAAGCAATAAATAAAAATTGCTAATTTGTTTTTATGAATATGATTATTACTTATTATGGTTTCAAATTTACTAATTATTTAAAACCCCGGCACCCTCACCATCTCCACACAGTAAAGCTTTAAAATGTTAAAGTACATCAAATATACTACTTACGATCCATCTCACTCGAAGATTATTAGCACTGACAGCTCTAACGGTGACATTCCTTGGCGGATGTTGGGGCGGCGCTTGTATGGTTTGGAACTCTTTGCAGGGCTCCGAAGGAGGCGAAGTCCCAACGACGTTGGTCGCAATAATTCGCAGCCTGTATGTAGTGAATGGTACCAGGCCAGTTACCACGATGGACTGAGCATCTGGTGCGCTCACTTCATATATTGTCACCCAGGAGGAGTTACGTGCTGTTTGTGCCTATAAAGAGGATTTATTTTATTTTTAATTATAACCCGTGACCTCTGACTTTGTGTCGGAGGTCTGGCTTTAGTTTCTATGAAAATAATAATTATTGCGGGTAGGTTGGCATAGAATGGTGATCTCCTACTTTCCTAAAGAAATAATGAATGAAATAGATCCAGAAATATATATATCGTTTTCAGCAGAAACAAAAAAAATTTTTGGGAACTCATATCCTTTAATAAGAAATACCTGCACGGTCCAGAGCGCTATAGAAGAGTTTCCATCAAATCCAGGTGTAAACTGTAAGAGTACAGAGAACGCATCAATGTTCGACAGAGCGAGGTTCCTCGGAGCACCTGGTAACACTGGTTCTACTCCAGACTGTATGGAAGCCGACTTGCGTGGACCTTCACCGATTCCAGTCATGGCGCTCACCCAGAAGTTGTATTGCGTACTCGCCTACAAAATAATGATATTAAAGAAAAAAATCTGTTAAAGAAAGTAAGTTATTTTTAGTTAATAAGTAAGAGAAAACAGTGCGTATGTGGATTTTCATTAATAAGTACTTACTTTTGTATGTCAGTTAAAAGAAAAAGTTACTACTATGCTCAAAGTGACATAATGTCGTAACTAACCTGCAAATGTTCCACATGAATGCTGGTAACATTCGGAGGTAATACCTCTTCCTTTAACGTGTCTGGGTTTTCCTTTACTTGGTATGATAATTTATAGCCAATAAGTACGCCATTTGATTTCCTTGGCGGCGACCAAGATACGCGAACTGCCCTATCTGATATATCGTCGAACTGTAGGTTGACGACTTCATCAGGCACTAAAAATTTAATTATTTTAAGGTGTCTAGCAATCTTATGTACTAAGAATAGCAGTCCCTATTTATTCATAGCTTAATTATAAAAATAAGGTTATCTGGCGTTAATAAGCTATAACCACCATAATAAATTACAAAAGCTGTTATTTCTATACGAAGATATTCACTGCAACAATTGCATAGATTTTACCAAAGAGTATAATGAAGTTCAGTTCAGAATCAGACTAATTCATTATATATCATTATCTAATATGGCAAAAGGTCTGCTTCACGTCAGTTCCTATACAGAAAAAACAGTAAGTATTTTTGTAAATATTTTAATCTATTACTGTTTAATGTTGTATTGTTTTTCTCTATGCTTATGTATTATTTTGTATGTAATGTAAATGTTATTAGTTACGGCATTGGAGTACTCTGTAATGGTGACTTATATTGTTATATAAAAAATCTAAAAAGTAACTAAGCACTCTTTGCATTACTTACTGTCTTCCTTAGTCCTCACAGCAACAAACTCGCTTCGTGGTCCATCTCCAGGTTCGGTGAAGCACAATACTGACACATTGTACTCAGTGAACTTTTCGAGACCACTCATGATCGAAGACTGCTCTGTTAATGGATCCAACAAATTTGGAGGTACGCTCACAAGTTTATATTCTAAACTGTCGTTTTGTAAATCATCCCATTTCCAGGCTTGAATTTTGTATCCCTGTAAAAGAAAAGAAATTGCACGTGTTTTTAAAGGTTCTTTCTTCAAATTCTTAGATTTCTCGATGAACGGTTTAAAAATGTTATGGTCACCGCATATAATGAGCATTAATAATTATCTATTATATTTTATGATTTACAATCAAGTATACACTATTTACAATTTTCTTAACCTACAAAGTATAATAAAAATTATGAAAAAGAAAATCAAAACAAATTTAAAAAGTTTGGTCCCTGTGGCAGTGTACCTTTAACGCTGGCAGCATTTCCTTGCTGTATTGCGATAATTATTCGTTGAGCCAGGAAAGTGCCAGCTCTGGGGTCACCAGTACTAACTACTAGACGTCAACTTAAAATTAAATCTTTTATAAGCGCCTGTGCACTTGAACCCCACGGCCCAAGAGTCTATTCTTATTATCTATTTTAATATTGTTTAAAAAAATATACATTGAAGTGATATACTACTCAGGCGTTTTTTGTCGAGAAAAATTAACTGTATTGCTTGGTTCTAGTTAAATTAAATAGTACTTTTATCTAGACAAATCCATTTCTATAGTCATTAAAATCTGCGCAGTACGGAACGTTAAAATAAGAATTGTTTAAAATGGTATAAACATACCTGATTAATCCCATTAATTTTCTGTGGAGTAGGCGGTGTCCACCAAACTGTGATTGATGTAGAATTAAATGCCTCACACCGAACACTATCCGGAGCTGCTTCTGGCACGCCTTCCTTCGTCTTTATAGTATAGCTATCGGAGAACATTCCAACGCCTTTATCGTTATACCCAGCGATTTGAACGTTATAATCCTTCCAAGTGATCAAATCTTGTATGAGATAATTTCTCTGAGCTTCGTTCGTTATATTTTGATACGTCCAGGGACTGTTATCGTAGCCCTTTAGCCTGTATCGTATAACGTAACCTAAGATGTGCCCGTTACGGTGTTCCTCTAAGGGCGGCTGCCATTGTGTTATAATTTCTGAAGAAGATCTGGCAGAACCCATGAACCCAATCGGCGGCCCAGATGGCGCTGTAAGTACGTATTAATACACTTCAAAAGACTTCGACCCAAATAAAAACATATGACGATTTTGGTGAAAATTTGTGGTTGGTATACTATTTTAAAAATCAGTAGGGTATAACATATAAAAAAAAAAATGTTATAATTTAGGAAACTTCTTTGAAATAATTATTTGTATCTCTTGTACGACATTGTCATGCAGTGCAGGCGTAATTAACATATAATAAGAGGACAAGCATGCTAGCGTGTCATGCATATTAAACAGGAATATTTTTAATACGAATATAGAAATATTAACCCTACTGCATACCTTGGCAGCATATAATGTCACTGGCTGCTTGAGAGAAAATAATGAATGAAAAATGATCATGATCAAGATAAATGTTTCTAATATGTTATATTAATAGTTACGTTTGGGTAATAGCCTACTTACTTAGCCTTAATATTCATAGTCCGGGACCGAAAGAAAGTAAACAACCATAGCACAAAACAAACTTATGTTAATAATTTATATATAAATATGTATATTCAGATCAAAGTTAGTTTTGGGGTGAAGGCAGGCCCTTTTCAGGCCGGGCCGTCCCATTTGGATTGTTTTTTCAATGTTTCCACTTTAATAATAAGCTTAAGGTAAATGTTCCCTTATATATTCCTCCCTTATACTTCCCGTATACGGCAGTCGGAGTTTGTGCTTTCGATTGCGATTTTTACAGTTGATGAGTGTTAGAAGACAACAGACGGAAAAAGTATTTAAATTAGAATTTATATAATATTAATTTACCTTCTTGTGGCAATGTCAGAACATCTGTAGGGTCGGACGGAGGTCCTTCACCCACAGTGTTCACGGCCGACACTCGGAACTGGTAAGATGTGGCCGCTTTCAAGCTTGTTAGTAAAACCCAACGTTGATTTGCTGACACATTCATTGGCTCGGTTATCCAGTTTAGAAGAGGATCTGGTGTAGGACCTATAGTGAGTATAGACTGGTAAGTATTTTGTGACCAGATCGCTTTAGCCTAAGTGGCTTGATTTAGATGGTCCTTGTCAAGCGACGAGTATGTAGTTTAAATAAATAAGAATCTTATTTATTTAAAGAAACTACATACTCAATTAATTACAATTAAGCTTATTAAGTCATCAATATATTTTTAAATTTCATTAAAGACCTAAAAAGGTACGATTCCACCAGTGCACTGAACTGTGCGGTGTGCGTACACAGCGTACGGCACAAATGTCGACTCACTCAAGCGAACAATAACAAATTGTGCGTAGTGTAGTGGACTCATGTCGACGCGCACACACTCGTTGTTCGCGGACTCAATCTTGCTTCCGCTACCAAAGCGAACACTTTTAATTGTGCGCGCACTATGTCGAGTAAATTTTTAATTATCAAGAATATTTTACCTAAAATATGGATTGTACGAATGAATAAAACATCAAATTTATTCAAGCGATTGAAACTTTTCGTATTTTATGGGATTACAGTCACCAGGATTATAAAAATAGTAACAAAAAACACGACGCCATTCAAGAGTTGGCTCAAAGTTTCAATTGTGTCTCGACTAACTTGTCTATGATACAAAAACCAAGACCCATGTAGGATTGTAGCACTACTGGATCATTATTCTATTGGCTTAATCCTCGAAAATGAATAAGTTGACAATACTCACCAAATTCAGGAACAACCCGCCGCTGCACGATAAACTTCTGTACCGGTGAATTCCCATCAAAACCCGGAGTCCACGAGACATTGACGGCGCGTTGCGGCGTAGCGTCCAATCTCTCGGCTCTCACATTCGTAGGCGAGAATGGCAGTTCGATGACGGAGAGAAATGCTCTACGCGTGTGATTGCCCCCCCCTGATGTCACTATACATTTGTATTCACCCGCGTCACTAGCTCGTACCGCTTGAACTTGCAAAGCACCATCACCCGATACCAACACTCGGGATCCCGCGGTCATTGGTCTGTAATTTAATTACTAGGGGTTAATACCTATAATAACCCACTAATGAATGTTAGGATTTGTTACACTGTTGTATACGAATTACCTCTGCTAAATAAGAACAAAAAGCGATCGTAATTATTCTGTGATACGTGACCTAATGTTTATCCCTCATAAGAAAAATCTATAGTAAAAATATCATTTAAATCGATGTACGTAACATGCACGCTATAATTGCATTTTTTTTAAAGAACAGGGACCAAAGTTAAGTGATACCGCGCCCATAGACAGTCTTAATAACCAGAGGGTTCGCGGGTGCGTTGCCGGGCCATTTATGCAATTATTGATTAGCAAATTCGATTTTTTAAATTTTCAATAAACTTTATAACAATTATTCAGTTTCTAGAAATTTTTTTTTTTAGTTTCTCCGGAGTAAAATAACTGGTAACTGAAATGAGATTCTCATTGCATTAATTATCAACATAAATCTTAGTATATGATAAACAGATCTCCACGATGTTCTTTACGTTTTTCCGTATATTTAAATACATATTGTAATTAAAATACTTACTGATTGTTGTGGAACCAGTCTATATTATACTTGACGTTGGGGTCATTCGATACTTTGCACTGCAACGTCGCTGTGTGGCCGAGCAGAACGCGTGTGTCTACGGGGGGGTGCGATGATTTGAGTTCTTACTGGAAATTAAATTAATAATACATTAACTGCATGCTTAAATAACAATATATTATTAAATTACCATAAAGTTAATTTTAATTAAAAATATAACTCCTTAACCAAACAAATTGTGTCATTAAAGATACTAGGAATAGATAATAGGCGGTTGGCATTCTGTACCTAAATACCCGAAATAGTATTTGTTTCTCCGAGACCCCAGAATCTCTGCTGCACTGGTGGCAAAAATATATAGATAATTTCCTATCTTAACAATAAATTTCATATAATCTCAACAATAATGTTTAACGCACAAAACAAAAACTTCTGCACGGATTCCGTGTGTTATTATATTTATATAATTTGTACTTATACCTAAAAATTACTCTATAGACAGAGTCAATATAACAATTCTCATTTTAACTTACCTAACACAGTAAGGTAAGCCTCTCCCGAAACACTGCCCGCTTCATTAGCACGTTTACACGTATATTTCCCGCTATCTGCTGTGGTAGTACTTGTTATTAGCAGATCGCCTTCTTCCAGGGCTTGCAGCCGTCCAGATAAATTTATTATTAGTGAGTCTGTAAATCATTATGTTTCTAGTAAAAAGCTATGATAGAAAAATACGCACACATTTTTAAATACAAATTATAAAAATTCAGTTATTTCGTGAAAATAATTAAGTATTAAGCAAGAGATAAAAGTAAGTTAAACATAGCCAAAATTTTTCTTCTTAATCTTTGTCAAGAATTTTTCACACAAAAGCTTTACATTATGAAGTCGTTCCTTAGGAGTTCATTGTAACGTAAATTATTTAACTAATTGGGCATTGAATTAAGGATACCTTTTTTTCGGATATATAAAGTGAATTGTATTAGATATTTGGGTGAATAAAATACTTTTTACGACATAAAATATACATCTTATTGTAGAAAATAACTATACAATTTTCTAGCTTAACATTCTAGGTTCGCTCAAGCAAATACTAAGCATTGTTGTTGGATGCGATAAACTAGCAGTTTTAATTACAATATTCATCAATACTATTCAAAGAGCTTTAAGTATATAGAGCGGGCAGTGGAAAATTGTCATAGAAAATCTTAGCGTTTATTCTGACACTAGAAGAATGAACCGTTTGTAGGTAGTGCTATTACTCAAATCTCTTTGACACTAATCTAACCTAGTCTTTTATTTTATATACATTTGTTTGATCATAGCTGCCTTCATTCTTAGCTATATTTTTTACCTATGTACAGAAGTAGTAGATCTTACCATTGAAATACCAAGTGACGTTAGGCGTTGGGGCTCCTACAGCCCTGCAGCTGATGGTGGCATCCTTGCCGTCCAAAACGGTGAGGTTTGATGGGGCACTTTGCATTACTGGTGGAGACGCTACAAGCCACACAATCAGTTAGTCTACAGACACACATTTACACTATAGGAATATAAAATGCAGTATCAACATACGGAAGAAAATATTTTTAAGTTATGGTAATGCCGCGATTCTGAGACTGTTATGACCAAATAGCCCATTCATTATGATGCGTAAGATTTTTCTTCCACATGTTTTATTCGCATTGTTCTAATGTTAGTATACACACGGTGATCGGATATACCGAAGCAGATTATAATTACAATTATGCATGCATAAACAATTGTTATATGATCGAGTATAAGACCGGTATTCCAAAACGTGACTCAGATTCTGTTCCAACATGTATTGAACATAACAACAAATACATTTTGTCTAGAAATACGTTTTAAAATACGGACATATTTTGAAAGGTGCGGCATTCTTTGGTTGAAGGTTCACAAATTTTAATAAACGGATCCGTAAGATTATTTCAACGCAGTCTTAATGATTAAAAAACATTCCTTAATTAGTCTATTAAGACTCAATATCACGTTCTTTTATTCGTAATATTTCTTAACGTTGATAAATTCGCGAAAACAATGATTCATGCTTTTCGATAAAATTATGATCGTCACATGCGAACAAATAATATTCATAATGATGACAAAACTGCATCTACGTGTTGGTGATGAACTAAAACCTTAAAAGCATCCACACTGTGATAAAAATTGTAAAAGTGCAGGAATACACCAACTGGTCGCTTACTGCCGGCATCGAATTTAAACGTTTTTGTTTTTCTATCAGAAGTCCTCATTCGAATTAACTTCATGTGACTGCGTCGGATGCGTGAACCATCCAATGCTGCGACAGTATTAATTATTAATATAATTGTTATAAATACCAACTAAACTGAGACCTGTACTTACTCTTAATTTTCAACCAAGTGTAAATGGACGATTCTCCAGCTTCATTACTCGCGATACATTGGTAAATGCCCATGTCTTCCATTTTAAGGTCATTTATAACAAGGCTTCTATCAACTTCAACTCTATACCTTCCCCCGCCATCGTCAACATCGGCGTTATCAGCTTCACCGGCATCTGCGCCGACGCTCGCAATTTTCCTGGCGTCCTTATACCACGTGATACCAGGTAAGGGTGTACCTTGTACATTACATTCTAATACAATTGCGTTTCCGTATTCTCCATATGTCTCGGTTTTCAGGTTAGTGAGCATAATAGGCTTTTCGAATACCGTCACACTTGCAGCGGCGGTGACGGTTGCGAAGCCCCCAGTTTTCAATCTAGCTTGACACATGTACTTTCCCGTGTGCTTGGCATTGGCGGATATCAGACTTAATGTTCTATTCCACTGGTCATTTAAGTCGTAAGTGATTCCCGCCAAGTCGATCAATATGCCGTCTTTGAACCATAACGTTTCGAGTTCATGCAGAGGCCGAGCATTGGCTATGCAATATAAGTTTGTGTATTCTTGACCTTTAATCACTTTAGTGTCCTGAGGTTTTATTATAATTTCTGGGGCAATTTCTTTATTGTCGTCCCCGTATACATTTAATCTGATGTATGGGCTATTTTCTACTTTACCTAATTGAGTATTGATCGCACGAGCTCTGAAGCAAAAACAGTTTATGAAAATTACAAGAAACCTTACACGTCTAGAGTAAAATGATTAAGCTCAAGACAGATTAGTTTAAAACGCAATGTTTCTTGTAATAAGTCAAAGCAACATGGTGGCAATTCAACAGATTTTGTTAGTGTACAACTCATTTCAAAACAAAAACAGCTTGGAATAAAGTTTTCTATAATTAAGTTGAAATACACAAATAATGTTTGGCTATTATTTACCTATACGCTCTTTGATCTTCTCTAGAAGCGCACAAAATAACAAGTTGATGTTTATCAGTGATAGCATATTTTTGGTCGTAGCTAGGCACTCCATTGACCCCCTTTTCATCCTGCCATACGACTGTCGGAGGTGGTTCTGAATCAATCGATGGAAAGTCTAGGATAGCAGCCTTTCCAGATTCTACAGTCACAACTGATTCAACAGTATTTTCAAACATTCCCATATCTGTAATTCCAAATGAAAATAAATGTAGGTCTCATTAATTATAATTGTACGCATTTGTTCGCAAAAAATATTATCGAAACATTAATAAAAAAACAAGATTACATATTTTTATTTTTTTATTCGTAGATGTAGAAGTTTAAGTATGTTTTAAATTTGTTCTTGGATAAAAGCTGTTTTAAAACCTCTGCTTACATGCAACAAAAATGTTATTTTTTTCACTGAATATAGCACCGACGTCATTCTTTGCTATACACTGATAGGCTCCGGCGTCATCCTTTTGAGTATTCTGAATTTTATAAAAGAGCTCCGATGAATAATCTCCAAGTGGTATACCGTTTTTTAACCACCTGTACATCGGTTGAGGAATACCTACAACATGATACTTAGATTACACACCAAATAAAAAACCAAAATGTTTTAAATTATTTAATTTCTTACCGATTGCAGAACATTGTAATATCTTTGTGGTACTTTCTCTGACAATGCTATTTGAGGAAGATGGCTGTGTGGTGAATCTAGGTGGTTGCATTTGTGCTGTAACAAAAAGAAAAATAATTTAACTAATTAACTATAACTAGAACGGTTTAAATTCTTATTGGATAGCGGATTAAAGTATATAGCAACAATTACAATTGCGTAATATTAAAACGTTATCGGCCAGTTATTTATTATGACATTATTAATTCAGCGTCTTCCGAGAAACTTATTTGGGACTCGAAAGTCTGCGTCATCAAACTTCGTAATTTTTAATGAATGCGGATCACTCGGGGCCAGGCCCCAGGAGTGTAGCCTCTTAAATTCCTAAAGCCATGCATGAATGTATGTATTCATACAAAATTCATCCTTATGAGCAAGGAAACGAAAAATGTGTAAATTAGAAGCTTCGTCGCGGCGTTAATTCAGAAATTGGTCTGTAAGTGGCACAGTCGAAAGAATTGGTACTTAAATTCTTAAACGGTGTTGTATTTAAGGTCATATGCAGTTTTTTTTTTATTTGAACACGTGAGAGTTATTGCGTCAGTGGTCATTATCACCCATTAAAAAGCTCACTAAGACTGTTTTTTTTAATATTTTAAAAAATACAGCTACCTTTTTGGCACAATCGGTTCTCTGATAATAATTTTTACAATTGAATTTTTTTATTAATTTAATTGAAATGGTAAAGTCAAAGGAAAACACAACTGCATATCCCGTTTTTGTTACAAAAAAATTACAAATAGCAAATAAGTAAATAAGCCTATCGCTTTGATTAAAAATATACATTTTTTTTAGAAGTTAATGTAAAAAATAAGAATATCATCAATAGAAACTCGTCAATGCAAAGTGTCTTACTTAAAATAATTAAAGTTACGTAATAACTTAATAAGTACTGACTCCGTGGCTTAAATTATTGTCATTTGTTCGATTTTGGTCGAAACTATTGCCAGTTGAGTCTGAATAAAAATCCTCATTAGTGCATGCCGGAATTTTTTAAAATAAATTATAATGACATGTTACATATGCCTTTAATAACGTATTTTAATTATGGGGACCCCAATTTGTTATAGCTCAATGAAAGAAAAACAAAAAAACTTGTTGTTTTTAACAAAATCTCTATAAAGAATATCATTAGTACTCAAAAGAGCAATGTTAGCAACTCAAGCTTGAGTTGCGTTCGAATCCCGGCTGTTCGGATAGATTTTTCTTTCTATGTGCGCATTTAACACTCGTTCGTACAATAAAAGTATCCTAAGAAAACCAGCATACCTTACACCCAAACATCGACAAAAGGATGACCTTCTTGACTATCAAACAAAATAAATGGAACGAAACAGATAAAGAAATCACTGTTTTGTTAGTACTTAAATTGTCTTTTCCTTCCCCCTAATATTTTTTCACGCCAAAGTTCTAAGCCCTATTGTTTTATTGAAGGGTAAGTCAGTAAACTTTCGTATTTGTCGCGTAAAACCTTATTGATAGCATTTTCTCTTTGAATTGATACGGAACTTATGGTTTCACACGTTCTTCGTGATAATTGACTTCAATTAATAGCGGAATAGAATAGTAGAATAGACAGAGTTCTTACCGTGGGTATTCAATTCATGTTTAAATATCTAGTTTTATGCTTTCTTTTTATACAAAAGTATAAACAAACTCAAGACCAATTACAATTTGTATTACATAATGTTGCTCTTAAAGACTTAAGATAGAAAGTACTACCACTAATCGTATACTAAAGCATTACCAATTTCCGAAATGAAATGTCCTTTAAAAGAAAAATAAAATACAAAACTTTAATAATAGAAAACCCCATAACCCTGGCTTATTTTTTACTAAAATCCATGTATCACCATGCCATACTTCTATGCCGAGACATTGCAAGTTCATACAATTGAAATACCTATGAATTCTTGTCATTATAAACAAAGCCTGTCGCTACCAGCTTCTTCACTAATATGTACAAGAGCTCTCATTCTGAACTATCATTAATGCAAAGATTGGGCAGTTACGATGTTGTCTATCTTAATATTTATCCAAGATCAAATTAACCCCAATACAGCCAGTGAATCACAGGATGCGGATTAAAGGCATTAGGTATTACAGAACACTGCGAAATTAAATTAATAAATCAGAGCGTTATAGTTAACCTCAATAGTTAAAAATACTTTATGATAATGTATTCTAGGGAATTAAAATAAAAGGGATGTTATGCCCAGATGTGTAATTTGTTTGGTTTTGTGTGCTATTGATTGACTGCAGTAACTGGCCCAGAAACACTCAACACGTGTTACGATTTATGCTTTAGCGTAATTTATAACCTTTACGAAAGTTTTTACACAATACCCGGATGACGTATTGAGTACTACTTTATCGATAAATATTTTTAAATAACAAAAAACGGAAGGTTAGAGTCCATTAATAACTCCACTGTGAATCTATATAATTAAGGTAGGGAAATGATTTAGACTAGCCGCGCGTCCTTATTAATTTTACTTATTTTTGAATTCGATTTATATATATAATATACGCTTTGGCCGTTTCAAGTAAATAGTACCTGAGTGTGAATAATAACCGTGAACGAGGACGTGTTTAAAAATAAGATTCAGAAACGAGACTAAGGGTGAGATCTATAGTGCGCACTTGGACTTTGCTCAGACTTACCTTACGAAAAACTTTGCTTAGTGTACACTAAGGTTAAACTATGATTTCGTATTTATAGACATTTTAACGGTGAGATTAAGCTAAGCCCAAGCTAAGACAGAAAATGTCAAAATACAAATTGATGTTTCATTTCATGCAATACTTTGTTTATTATCCTTTAAAAAAGTAAACAATAACAAATATTTAAACATCTAAAACGGTACACATATATCTTCAATTTATTGTTATTTATGTATTCATTTATTTTATTATTGCAATAACTAGAAATTTACGAGTAACCTTTAGAAAATGTATTAATTATTTAAAGATGACAATAATTTTATTACGTAGAACGGATCGCAATGTTTTGACAACAGCAACAGAGCACTTGTATCAACTATCAACAATTGAAAATTTTAAACCACTTTTTCTCTTTTTTTGATCTTTCTTCAAAACAACGACTGGCTTTGTGACTTGGACCTGGACCAATCTGGATCGTATACCTACTTAAGACCTACGCATTCCCGAAGCACTGTGACGTTTTGTGATTTGGCTTTGTTACATGGACCGCTTGGAAATATCAATATCGAAAGTGACATGATGGAGAGAGAGAGTTCTATCTTCAATAGAAAACATTGAAATGGTAGGAACTGCAGCCGATATGAATCCACGAATGCCTAAAGTGTTGTATATGTTCGGAACTAATAAAACCAAAATCCTTCCATCCTGTACGGTGAGAATGAATTCAAAAGAAGGAACCGTATTTTGAAACACACGGTATTAAATGTGATCCTGACGCTGATCATTACAAACTTGCAACTTTATAACAACAGAGGATCGCCAAACCTACCGCAATTGCAAAAACTTATTGCATTAAGGCATAAAAATGAAACTGGATGTTTTCAGGTAATATTGTGTTCATAAATATGTATGGTTTTTCAATTTGATATATTATACCTCTTCTCAAATGATTTTAAATAGTACATATGTTGAAGACTTTTGTCTTCTGACTTTCAGAAACATAACATATATGTGACTAATAATACTTTATTGACATTACAGATGGTGTGTGGTGATCTGAACAGCATAAGCCAATCTACAGTCTGTTTAATTATAAATAAAGTCTCTGCAGAGTTGAGTAAATTTCTTCCTAGATTTGTAAATTTTCCAAGAAATATGAACACAGCCAAAACGAAGTTTGAAGAATTAGGAAGATCTAATACTCACCATGGCCTAAACAGTATAATCGGAGCTATTGACTGCACCCATATAAAAATTAATAGACCCAAAGGTATCGCTCACTCTGAAGCATACAGAAATAAAAAAGGGTATTTTTCTGTAAATGTGCAAGCAATAATAGGGCCTGATATGGAAATATTTGCTAAAGTGACTAGGTGGCCTGGCAGTTCACACGACAGCAGGATATTTAGAAAATGCCTGTTTTAGTAGGTGACAGCGGTTATCCAGCACTTAACTTCATGTTAACAACACTTTTAAATCCAATGACAAGAGCTGACAATATTTATAATTATTCTCAAATAAGAACTAGGCATATTTTTTAAAGGTTTTTCGGAGTGTGAAAAAGGAAATTTCCATGTTTACAGCTAGGACTACAGTCAAAATTGACAAATACTAGTTATATATAATTATAGCTTGTGCTGTATTGCATAATATAGGTATACAGAGAGGCGATGCTTATGATGATGGTGATCTTGCTGACAGCAGAAGTTGAGTAACACAGAAACAATGAAAGATCTCCTACAGGTCTAGCATTCCGGCAATCTGTGATTGCACAATTTAACTAGGTAATTTGTTTGTAATAAAGAATATCAAAACAAAACTTGTTTCATTTTAATCATTTATTTTCTGATTCTTTTTTTAAGTGTAATACATATTTCTAATACTAATTTATATTTTTGTTGAAGAAATTCTATTTCTAACAGATTTTTTAATTTCATATGTTCCACTCCTATCTCAAATTTTTTAGGGTAGTCAGGTAATAAATGGTAGAAGATTCAGGGAAACGAAAATAACAGATGTGAAGCGAGAGACATCGGTTAGGTTATAGTTTGAATTTCGTCGTCACTATAATATGCCAGGGCTGCCAGGTGACATACAAAATCACACCAGTTATTTTTAAGATTTCTCTAAAATGGGGTTTGAACAATTACATAAATAATATAAATAAACAACAATAAATACCATAATAATGTGTAATTATTTTATTTCATGCATTTCATAGGTATTTATCAAGATCATTTATAATTTCTTTGAATTCAAATTCTATTTTTCCCAAAGTCTATGGAACTCCGATACAAAATGGCAACACCGTTCATTAAAAACCGACAAAAATAAAAAGTCCAGTAAAAGATATGATGGTAAAGCAAATTTTGGGCCATTATTTTTGTT